GATTGATGGCATACTCTAAAATTGATTTTTATGACATCATTTTTGATGTCACATACACTCTAGATTTTTAGACACCAGATACTTTATCTTATCACCTGATGCTCCATATTGAACACAAAATTTTGAGTATATGGTGAAAATCTCCACTTTGAATATAAAGGCTTAAGAAGACTGCAGAGGCTTTGAATATATTTTGAAATACATTTAAAATACTATCCCAATTATAGTATTAGTAGACCGAGAGGGCAAGGATTCAAAACTCTGTCTCCTTTCAACAAACATAATTACAGTTCTATTTGCTTTATAAATTGAGCCTCAAATAAAATATGCKTTATTGGATTCCAGTGCTTTAAAACATAAGAATCCAATCAGTCCATATGAGGAACCATTGATTCAATTGAATTAACCTTGAACACGTGACATGTACACTTTTCATGAAAACAAAAAAATCTCTAACAAAGGACAACACTAAAATTTCTTCACTGAGAATATTCATTTTTCCTTTCAAAATAACATTGAAAAGGACTTTGTGTTAATTTTTCAATAAAACTCTAAGTAAATCCTGTTTGTTACATTGCCCAGAGGTCTAAATGATTTACTTACGTTGACTAACTTGGGACTCATTTCTGCCCTTCTATATTTATGAGAGAAGCAAAGACAAGTTGAAAAGTTAAGAACATACAACAAGCCACCATGATTCAAAAGACTGGAAATAGAGGCAATCGAATAATTCCAAATTACAACAAATGTCAAGAGCTCATACTTTTAATTTTCTCCTTTCTCTCTGGGTAGAATTTTTCCCCATGTCTTTCTCATATACTACATTCAATTTCCTATCTATAGTACTGTGAACTCTATGATGGAAATATATTGTGCCAGCCTAGAGAGTCTTTTAATAGGGATTCATCAATGGATTCAATGCTATTCTATATATTATTTCACCTAATCTTGCCATAACCCTTTTGAATAAATCCTGTTATTGACCCCATTTAACCTTGAGTTTTATGTGAGGAAAGGGCTGGCTCAGAATGACAATGCAATCTCATTCTCRGATGTTTTGAGATAAGAGATTTACAGGAGGATCATCAGGCACATTACTCTTTCCCTGGGTTTGCTACTGTCCTTACAGGTAGGATATAAAGTTACTGAAAAAAGAAATGGAACAGAGAAGGCCAACCTGGACATTTCTTATGTAAAAGACAGAGACATACAGAGAAATGTATAATATAACATTTATAATATACAGAGTAGATATAGACCAAAAATAATGGTTAAAAGGCAAGAAAATAATCTGAGGTTTCCTGTGAAGTGTTTTTAGGCCAGAAGTAGAGCAAGTGAACTAATTCTTGAGTAAAACATGAATTAATGGGGAAAGTGTCACCCAGACCAAATGCTAGCCCGTGAAAACCAAGACGGCAGAGATATAATAGGTAGAAGTAAATGAGATTAACGTTTGTGGGTCAAAGATGGTCTAATATTGGCAGTTTCATAAATTTCCGCTTAATTATTTGATGGAGTAAAAATAGTATTTGGCTCTGAAGATAATCATGGGAAGAAAGATAATCACTGCACTGTGTATTTTTCCAGAGAAGAGGCATAYGTAGGACCACTTACTAAAATGTCACTCCTAGCTTCATTATCCTCGTTCGAAAAGAACAAATTTTTTGACAACTACACTAAGAAGCTGCTATTGTCTCCAACAATATATTTGACTCTGTTTCCTTTTCTTGCAGATCAGCTACCAATAAAACCTACTTCTAAAATAAGTCTAGGAGTAAATTGCTAAAGATTATAAAATATAAATTGAATCAATAAACAGAAAATGAGCAATAATTTTCATAAATTAATTTTATAAAATGTACTTAGTAAGCAATGTTCCTCAGTACAAAGATGTCAAAGAAAAAGTAGGAAATGCAATAAATAAATGACATAGTTTTTTTAAAATTTCATCTGGCTTTTTGATTATGTATATATTCTATCGATTTGTACCTTGCAGTAGGCTAAAGATGTAAATTCTTTCCCATTGTCAGAAAAACACTATTTATAAAGTTGAATTAGACCATCACCTTCTGTACTAATTTATTGGGAAAATGATTATAAAATAGACCCACTCTGACAAAAATAATCTATATAACTCAAAAGAATTTAAAAATATCTGTTCAAAAACTAAAAGTAAAAATTAATACAGTAGTAATAGTTGAGCCAACAAGAAAATATGGACAGTAGTGTTTTTGCTCTAGTTTTGCCTATTTAGCAGTTACTGGGAAAACATTTTTGAGAAGTTCATGGTAGTATTATATTCTGGTCCTAGACAGAGACAGAGAAATACCCAATTTCTAAAAATGAATCTCACAAAATTGGATTACATACTTTTAATGGCAATTTTCTTGTAGAAATAAATCTATGTTCGGTTAAAAATTATATATTATATATCCTTAAAGTTTTATCTCAATGTATAATTTCAATTCCCTTTAGGATAATTTCAAAATTTATAAATGTTGTACAAAATAAACATATGAATAAAAACTACTAAAGTACAAAAATATCTGATTAATGTCTTGATATAATCATTTGATGCCTATTCCACTGGCAAGAACATGCCAAGTGCTTCCAGACCCTGGACACGCACTGTCTGTCCCTATAGTTCACATTCTAGTGGAGGAGAGAGAGAAACAGAACTACAAACCTGCAAAGTGTTGAGGAAACACTTGAAATACAAAAACCACCTAAAGTCCATAATGCTCAGAATAAATAGGGTCAGAGGACCTGGGATATATACTGAAATTAGGAAACCTGCTGCAGAGTGAGTCTTGTGTGCATCATGAAATGTTCTAAGATGGCATATTACAGAGTTTAGACTTCATACTGAAAATCACAAGTTCTAAATTGGGGAAAATCATGATCACTCATTTTTATTTGGGGTCCTGTAACCCATAGAAATTAATTAGTTTTTGAAAAACTCTTTCGGAGCACATTTTTAAAGCAGGTATGAAAAAACTGTTGTCATGATACCAGGGACCCACTGATTGTTATTGAAGACTTCCTGATAAGAGATCCAAAAGGATGCTAACAATCAAAATCACAAGATTTATTTATAATAAGAAACATACAGAAATTAATGATGTGTTTACATGAATTTAGAATACTCAACATAACTCCAGATGGAGACAGAGCTTGTGAGTCCCACAATTTCCCCTTGGGTATGCTGTGCTTCACATGATGTCACCAAAACAATATTTTTCCCCCATTTCCAAAGGGACTATGTATTATTTTGACCATTGACCAACCACTGAAATATGATTGTCCAGGAAACTGTCTTCATGTGTACAGCCTTGCTTAAAAAATATAATTAAAAATATATAATTAAAATATAACTAAAATATAATTGATTAAAAAATTAGCACGCATTGCCATGTACATGGTGTGAGATTAAAAGAAGCAAAGTTTGATATTACAGGAGTATCCCTTTTCATAACTATCTAAGAAGGATCCACTTCAGAAGAGATGTTAGGTCCTGGGTAGTGTAGGATATGTGAGAAGAAAACAGAAATTGACATATGAAAGACAAGGAGGAGATGGAATCAGTGGAACTTGGTGATTTATTGCATCTGGAGAATGAACATAAGAGGAAGTAAGGATGATGTCCATATATCTTTCATGTGCATCTTGATGAGTGTTAATAGTTTTGCTAGGAGTATTGAGAAAAGGAGGAATTGAAAGCAAACAATATAAGCATAGTAAAGTTTTTTAGTATGTGATTTTGATCATTAATTTTAGCACTAGTTACAACAGTTCATTCTCATATTTATCATGTGTGAAATTTGACTTATTTTATGGCAATGCATAAATTTGGTTCAATTTTATCAAAGAGCTTTCTAGAATGCAACTTTTTGTGTTATTAATTGTTAGAGTCTGTAAACAAGTCTGGATGGCGCCTGGCAAAATGCCAGAGGGAGTGGTTTGTGAAGTAACGCCAGCAAGCCATTAAGTACGGAGATTCCTCATTGGTTGACTGCTGTATCTAGTTTATGTTAATTAGATAAGCTGTGTTGAATGTATAAATACCGATTTTATCCTACAATAAACGGCTCCTACTCCTGCTGTATCAATGTACACAAGTTGCTCGTCACCCCCCGGCTATTTTGCTGCAGCCGGACTGCGGCAATTAATAAAATGATCATTAGTGAAATTAATAATATAATTACATAATGGAAAATTTTAATAAATTCAAAATATTAAGTTTTGCTACCTTTCTAAAAACATTATGTTTTTAGATATTACCTTTTAATTCTTCAGATCTTGTTCTTAATAATAATTTACATATTGTTACAACCATATTTGTAATACTATTTGTGTTGAAATTAATATGTGCAAATGTCTAATTTCATATTTTTTTTCTTTTTCCATAAGTAAAGCTACTTAAAATGGTTTGGAGGGCTGGAGTTGTGGCTCAACAGTAGAGCTCTCTCCTAGCACGTATAATGCACTGGGTTTGATACTCAGCACCACATAAAAATAAATAAAAAAATAAAGGTATTGTGTCCAACTACAACTAAAAAACGTATATTAAAAAAAATAGGCTGGAGATCCTTTCTTTATTTTGGGAAAGTTTAAATCCTATGATGATATTTGTAACTTATAATTTTGAACATATTCATGTTTGCAATTCTCTTGACTAAGATATCCCTTAGGATTTTATATCACATGCTCTAATAATCTTAATGGTCATTGCTTTAATTCTCTCTCCTTTGGTTTTTTTACAGCATTACTTGAATATTTTGTTTCATTTCAACCTAATGATTCTCTGAACTGTGTATTTTGAAATAGGTATAGATTCATAGGAAATTGCAAAAATAATCCATAGGCTCTCTTAAACACTTCATTCAACTCTTACTAAAGGGTGGCATCAGATGTAACCTCAGCACACAATTAACCTTACATCCTTCCACTCAAATAGTGGAAGCCAATCTCAGTGAGGCTACAGAGGGACTCACAACTTTTCATTTGCATCGTAAATAGCGGATACCCTCACACATCTGGCCAAAGACATGAACCTGGGTCTGCTGCCCTCTGCAGTCCACGCAGACAGTGCTGCTTCTATGCAATGCCAGCGCACCTGGCAGCACATTCTGGTCTTCACAGAAGGGAACAGGCTTCCTGCTAAGAACTTGGAGACACAGTCTCATCACGATCTTGAAAGAACAAGTTTCACTATCCAAAGAATTTTCCCTTAATTATTTGTGAATACAAGTTTAAAAAAATCTGATAATCTTGATGTTAACATTAAGGTAATCAGGGAAAATTGATTTTCTAGGATGATTTATTGATTGTTGTAGAATCTAATTGCCTCAAATTGTGTTACTTCAAGACTCATTAATCTGGTTGCTCTATTAATTTAGAAGCCAATTTGAAAGACTATTCTACTTTTTATTGGATTTAAGGTGCTTTATTATGTGGATGGCATTCAAAAACACTTCTTACTTTGGATAATATTCCTAAATTAAGAAAGATCATCTTTTTATACAAATTACATTTTACACAAGTTTTATATACTTTGATGGTAGCAGGATACAAAATCAATTTATTAAAATGCTCAATCCCCATGCTATTAACAATAAAAATTCTGATGTAATAGGATATACAGCCACATATCTCTTAATAACAGGGACTTGTGAGAAATGGGTTGTCAGGGCTTTAACCCCTGGGGCATTATGATGGAGTACTCTCACACCCACGAGGTGGAACAGCAGACCACACACCTAGGTGCCATGGGTCTAGCATCACCTATGTTGTCCCACTCTGACTGAAACAATGTTAGATAGTTCATCACTGTGTAATATAATATAATTTCTAGACCTTACAAAAGTAAATAATATGTTGATTTCTGTCAATACATTTCATGAACAATAAATTGTTCATATATTACTATCTAAATGTAGGAGGGAGAAAGAGATTAATAGCATGTTTGAAAGATTTCAGTGGCTCTTTCAAAGGCTATTTTGTTATTTAGTGTTTGGTTTTGATTTTACTTGAGGAAAACCTAGTCAGAACATTTCAAAACAGAAATCTGAACTCAAGTTAATCTGAATCTACTATTAACCTCTAGAGAAACACATGAAAGGAACAAGGACAATCTTGTCGACATCATAGCACTAATGCCTAGATTATGAAAATAAGGCTTTTCAATGAACACGAAATACAGTCCTTGTTGTCATGTACACTTAAATCACCTGCACATGGATTTCAGTCCATCACCTGTAGTGCAGCAGGGGGGAGACATATTTAGGTTTCCCTTTGGTTTTAAGTGGAGTAACATTCTTTCAGATACTTATAAAACTGAGATAATTTGAGAGTGACATCTGAAAGTTCCCCTCATGATTATTTGATGATGTCTGTCCTTCCTCCTTAAAGTAAATTGATTGTAAAATAAGGCTGATCCCTGTGACATTTTGAGTTTGAATTATGATTATTCCAGACAGGAGGTGAGAATTAAACTGACTCTTGACCTCAACATCATGAATATCATCCTTTCTACAAATCAATAGAGAAAACCCTTATTTTCATGTTTGTTTTCCACTATGAAAATAATTTAAGGATAGCTATTCAGATTACTATGGCAAAAATAGTTACAATTAACTCCCCTCTTGGAGACAAGTACATAGGACAGGCTTGACTTAATCCATTGTAAATTATGTGGAGTTGGAAAGTTAAACCTTTTTGAGGCATGGTATAATCATCTGTAAACTAGAAAAAAGCATGCTCTTTTATGGATATTCCTGCGTAACTTTACATTTAAACTTTCATCAGAGTGCAGGAGAACTCTTATGTCCTTAAATTCAAAAGACATTTCTTCCTTTCTTAGTGGGGTTTAATCTTGGCTATACTTTTATAGTATGTTGTACCAAACATTAGTATTTGAATTTTCTTTTGAAAAGTTCTACCAAGATGTAGAGGTTGATATTCTAAGTTTTTTTTCCTTTTTCTTTGTTTTCATTCTTACAAGTGTTCCAATGAATAAAGAAAGAATAATTAACTTATTTTAATTAAAAAAAAATGTTAATTCTTTTTTCAATTACTATATGGGTACATTGCAAATTTTTAAAAAGTTAAGATACTATGGAAACAGTGATATATGTTTTGAACTTTGTCAAGATATTTCATCATTAAACAATTATTTCATCATTGCTCATAATTTTTTCAAATGTGCTTCTAAAGAGTTATAACATTTCAAAACTTGTACGATGAAAGGCCTACCAGAATGGTAAAAATGAAATAAATTTTCACCATAATATTCTTCTTTTAATTGTGTTGCTCCTAGTATTAATTTAACCCTCAAAGAGATATAAAAGAAGACTGGCACACTATCGTTTTAGTTTGATTTGAGCTTTCATTGTAAGAATTTTTTTTTATTTTATCATAAGCACAGAGAAAAGAAAACTGAGAGGGGAAGACATTTCACAAATTTTAAGTCAATCAGAATATGAATACCAAAGTAGAAACTAATACTGTAGGCTCAGGACACTGGTAAAGTTTACCATGAAAGCAAAGATGCAGATTATGAGACTTCAGGTGAAGTTATACCATTTAACTTTTCTCAAATTAAAAATTGTATCTTATCCATATAATTATACTGAGTTACACAGTATAATTATATGGATAAGATACAATTTAGTGATCATCCTATAAGTCATTAAACAAGAAGGATTTCATTACAAAATATCTTGTTTTGAGCCATTCTGTTTTGCTAAACATAAGTGGAATATTCACTTCAGTCTATGGCCCAAAGCCACCTATGAGCATGGTGTCACTGTCACTAAGTGGTACCCTCATTCTCAAAAAAATGTGATTACTCCTATTTTTATAAATACACTGACTTCTGAGTTGTAGCTTATGAACCAGAATCTTGGAAAAGAATGTGTCATCCACTCAGGTGGTAGAGCTACACATGAACTCCAATGCAATGAAAAAGGAAAACCCAATCTATCAAATGTATATTTCTCATTTTCACATGGTACAAAAGTAGAAAAGGGTTACTATTAACATAGCTATTTATAAGTTTTATTGTAAACAACAATAGAGGAGTTATAATAAAAAATACAGTGTGGTCATTAGAATCACCTGTCTTTAGTCAACAAATATTTATCAGCCAAATCTAATACTCTGGCCTAGACCCCAAGCCTCCAATGTGTAAGTTGTGCTGTCTTCCCAAGTCTTCTGCTCAGTGATCTTGGCTCAGCTGAAAGCACTGAAAATGCAGATTTACATGGTAAATGACTTACCACCTGGGGCATCATAGTTATATAGAAAATGAAGAATATTAAGCCACTTTTAAAAAAAATTTTTAGAAATAGGTTTTCTTATAAAGGTGACAATTTAAATACATTCACAGCTATTATGAAATTATTGCCATATGAGTTATATATTTTAAAATCCTAACATACTGCATATTTCAAAAAACTAGAAAAAAATCTTGTCATTTTCACCATGAAGAAATAATAAATGTTTGAAGACATATGTGTTTAACCTAATTGAAGCATAATGTGATATTAATTAATAAGCACATTTTGTACAATGAATCAAAATGCATTCTACTGTCATATATACCTAACTAAAATAAATAAATAATTTAATAATAATAATAAAAAAAGACACAGACCACCAAACTACCAGCATGTAAACTACAAAAAGTTGCCTTTAAAACATGCTCTAGTATTTCAAAATAGTTAATAGATACTCTTTTATTCTTAATATTGTTGGGAAAATATATTAAAAACACATATTAAAACAAATAAAATATATTAGAGAATCATAAAAAATGAACACATTTTTAATGTTTTAGGTACCAATTAAAAATAATTTTTTCAATTAAAAATTTTAACTAAAAAGTTGAAATATGTAACTTTAAAATTTAATTGTACTTACAATCATTGTAAAATATGATTTATGTTCAGGGCATAAATTTAATATGTATTGATTAGAAAATTGCAAGATATGTTGATTATTTTCAAATTATTTAAATTTTGAGGAAACAGATTTACTATATTTAAAGGATCATTAATTAGATGTAAACTAGTTAAAGTGATTTTTCGAAGTTCATTAATATATTTGTCTTTCTGTTCAAGAAATCAGACGTGTTTAAAATGTTTGAAAACATCAAAATTTATGTACAGCATATAAATTACAAGTGAAATAATCCACTTATAATATAAATTTTTTGAAAATTATGTAAGCCTAGTTTCCTTGGGAATTGTGAGTTCCAGTACATTTGCATTCTTTTCTTATTTTATTTTAATGATCTCTACCAGTCTACACATATGTCCCTGATGTCTAAATTTGTTAAATTTTATATTTCTGGGCAGTATAGCACAAGGGAGAAACTCAGAACTTTTGTATCTTCCACTTTCTCAAAAACTATGGATTTTAACCCATAAAAAATGAATAAATTTAAAAGGTCATTTTCATATTTATAATCATGTATTTTTTAAAAAATATATGCTTAAAATTACAAGATTTCAAATTTTCAGGATAAAATGGTTCAAGCATAAACATAATTGAACATAGTTCACTTAACAGTTTAAAAACCATTAACAATTTCCAGTATCTTATGGTTGAAAAATGAATAACAATTATGATGTACCTATGTCTTAAGATATTCCTATCTGCTACTGTATTAGAAAATTAAAAGTAAAACATAAGGTTGGTTACTACTCCTGATTGGTAAAAAATGTAATTCCTGCTTTTGTAAAATACAAATGGTCTCCAATTCGCTTCATTGAGAAATTTAATGTCATTTAGAATATATTGATTTCTGTATTTATGAAAATAAGACTATAAAATTTTTGGAAATTAGGGGCTATTTGAAAAATAAACTATGGTATGTTTCATACAGAGTGCCCTACAGAGTGTCTTTAGAAATTTTTAAAATAAAATAATCTTTGTTTTTAGAATTTTTTTAAATAAAAAGAAACATATACTATTATGTTTAGCACAAAACAGAAACATCTAATTAAGATAATTAAAGTGTCTATGAGAGCATTTCAAAGTGGGATAAGTATATAACAAAATCTATGTACAGCATATAAAATATTAATCATGTCTAATATGTGAAATATAGAATCACTATAGTATAATATATATATATATATAAAATATCATATGAATATTAGTATTATACATGATATAGTCATTATATATAGTATATAAAACAGTGATGTGTTACTCAGACTTCGGTAATTTAGGAAGCTTTCTTACCTGACCAGAGTCTGCATTTTCACACACATAAGTCTCATAGTATTCAGAGAACTCAGGAGCGTGATCATTGACATTTAGAACTTGTACGTACACAGGAACTGAAGAAATCTGTTGAACATTGTCTACAGGTTGAATAATATACAATGAAAAAATAAGTATAATAATGTCTTATAATCATGAAAAATTGCCTTCAAGACTATATAGTATATTTCTTTTTTTTCACTTGAAAAACCAAAGAACCAGATCTCTATATGAGGACAGGATCTGCAAATGATTCATGTATTTTTCAACAATATAGCCAAGGAAAATTTCTGTTTCACACATTCTCCTCAAGCAATATTTACTAAGTGTCTTTCACTGGATGTTGGTCATAGTGGGAAAATAGTAGGTATAAGGACAGCTTGCTTCATTCCTGTAATTGCTGTTAGTATTTATATAAACACACCTAATTCTGATGAATGTAGGTATTGTTAATTTCCCTGACTTCACTGACAGAAGATTGAGAAACCATTTACCATTCAGCATTGCCTGAGATTTCAGTTAATGTAGAAATATTTGTTTAAAAATATACAAGGCAAGCTGGGCACAGTGGTGTATGATGTAATCCTGGGAGGCTGAGGCAGGAGGATTGCAAGTTCAAAGCCAGCCTGAGCAACTTATCGATGCTCTAAGGAACTGAGCAAGACCTTATCTCTAAATAAAATATAAAAAGTGCTGGGGATGAAGCTCAGTGGTTAAGCGCCTCTGGGTTCAATCCGCAAAATATATACCAATCAATTCTCTTAATCACTAAAATTTAGGTGCACCTTTTAAAAACAAAAATTGTTTTGTTTAAATAGAATGTTCCACAATGTACAATAAATTATATTTTATTTTAAAAATAAATATAATATTTTAAAAATATCGATACTTCTATTTCAGATGATCAATTTCAACATTGATGATTTTGTATATAAATTATATATCTACTTTTATTAAATCTCATGTTTTAATTTTTTTCCTTAAATTCAACCTGAAGCCTTACTGTTTTTCTCAGGAGAATTCAAACATTTCCAATTCTTTTCCTTTGTTCTTATGTTATCTGCATTTATATTCCTTATTTTCAAATATATAAGTATAACTGAAAAATAAATGTATTTTGGTTTTAATTGTTTCAAGAAAATATTTTTTTCTTTTCTTTTTTTTTCCTCCTGGTATCACGATTGAATCCAAGGGAGCTTAACCACTGAGCCACATCCCCAGCCAAGAAAAAATTTTTTAAGAGAATTTCTAGCATATTTTGGCAAGAAAAGCCCAAAGTCTTTAAAACATATTTGGTATCTACTTTTTTTTTAAATCCCTTGAATCATTTTAGTATTACTAGATACATGTTTCACTCACTTGAGAACATAGGAGAAACAACATATTGGAGAGAAATGAGACACCACAGAGAGTAGTGACGGGAATTTGGCTAAATGTTCTCATAGATTGTTCAAGTTTGGTTCTAAGGAAGCCACACAATGGGGGCTAATTGAGACCCTACATTTGAGTCATTCATACAAATAAAAGCATTTAAATATAATTGTCTTGCAAGTTTAAAAATGGAAAAATGTGACTGCTGAGGAGTATAGTGTTTATAGTTAATTTAGAAAACACTGAGTGAAACACATACTTTCTTTCATTTGCTCTATTAATATGGGAAAATGTAGCATAGGATTAAGACAACAGGCTTTGGAATCTGATGTAATTGTGATCGTTCTATCCATTTAACACTGAGGGTGGGAAAGCAAATTACAGAGGCTGCAGTTTTTTTTTTTTTGTGTGTGTATGTGTGTGTGTGTGTGTGTGTGTGTGTTTGTGTGTGTGTGTGAAATTCAAATAATATTGACCTCAAATTTTACTGTGAATTTTAAAATAATGTTACATAAAATAGTTTAACAAATCGATGAGATGTTAATCTGTAAAATACTTAATAAAATGTTTATACTATGCAGTTTCACAGAACTCAATCTTTTTAGCCACAAACTATAATTTTTATAAATTAATATGTGAAAATGTGATTCAGAAGTGACAAGATAAAGTCATTTTCCCTGATGTGCCTCAAATGATTCCCAGTTTCTGCTATCATTGCTGTTTGGTTATTTTCTTCAACATACACAGCATTGTAATATCTATAGTTTCTAGTGTAAGCCTTTGGAATATGTCATCTTTTAAACTATAAATTTTATGTTCTATTAACTGAATAATGTACAGTACCACACACATATGTAAACATGTGAATTATGCAGACCATATGGAGCTATTTCTTAATGCTGTAGGGGCTGTGGGTCAGTTGGGGAACCAATGCAGCTTAGGAGCTGAAGTCTTGTCTGAGTACCTGCATTGTACTGTGCTGGTCTTTAAATATTTTAATATCACCCTTGAACAGAATATATGATGACATAATTATAGTGTTTATCAGATTATGCACTTTATTCATAGTACATATGTAAACATACAAGTGTTGAAGTAACGACTTTTGTGGATAGCAGGTATCTTATAACTCAAAGATACATATCATTGTTTTTGTTTTGTTTTACAATGCTGAACCAAAAAATGCTTAGATAATTTTCCAATAGGGATCTTCTATCATAGAAAGGCATTTGTCTGATAAAAAAGTAATTATATAGCTAATTTGATAGTATATAATTAAATTATCTGGCAATTTTTGTTGCATTCATTTATTTTTTTGATTCTTTTTATTCATACAAGATTAGAGCATTTTAAATCTAAAAGTACAAACTATAAATTTTAAAGAGTTTACCTTCTAGTAATTCACATTATGGTACATCTAAGTTAAGAAAAGAAATTATATATTCTTATAAGCATTATATTAACATACAAAATAAGCTAAAATAGAAAACATTTCTATACATTCAATAAATTTTGATCATCTAATAGCTGAGAGCAATTTTATAGAGAAACATATTTTTTGAGGAGTCTAGTCTTCCCTCAAACTGATTTGGATTCTTTTTTTTTTTTTTTTTTTTTTTACAATAGCTTTGTAGAGAGTGACATTATGAATAATTTGTTCTCAGAAATAAATACGCATTGAATAAAAGCTTCTTGCTCTCGGAATAAACACCTTTGTGCTTCCTGACAGGAAAAGCCTTGGCATTTCTTCTGCAGCAGCAGGCATTTGTTCCATTGTAACATTTGCTCCTCGTCCTTTATTGTTTAGTTAGACAGAAAATTCAAATCCTGACCCAAGTCCTGCTGCAACATTTCTGCAGAGTTACTCAACATATTGCAAAAAAACATGTGAGAGCACTTTCCACTCTGCCATATCACCTGCAGCTGTTCAATAACATGAGGAATAAGGTAGACTAAGGTTTAAAGCCTCAAAGAAATACAAAAAAAAAAAAATGAATAAGATTGTTAAAATTCWATGTAAAATCGATTACAAGAAAGGATGCCTTCAGAACATCTCAAACTCACAGCTTCACTCCTGTGCTGTACTACAGTATTACACTAAATTCATGTGCCAAATAATGGCSATGATTTTGACAGTCTTTCCTATTGTGTTGTATTTATTCATTTATGCTTAATGTCAGATGATTGAAAAACCGATTCACTCATAATGTTATGGACACTATTCAAATGGTAAATTGGTATTATTTTACCCACTTTTATACCTTAACAATGAAATCATCTGCTTTTCGCTGAAACAAACAAGCAGACAACTGGTCATTAATGATTACTAAGATCTGACCATCAGTTCAACTGCAAATGTAAGTTTAGTTAAAAAATGGACCACTCCTTTTGGGATATGCAGACAGCTGATGAATATGATTTGTATCCTCCATATTCTGTACTATAATAATATTGAACTATGATTCATGTTAAATGTCTAAATTGTAAAAGAATTAACACTCACATTTTATCCTAAACACAGGAAAAAACAGAGGCATTCCATATTTGCTTTCTGGAAGAGTTACTTGTAAACTGATAGACTAAACTAGTTATGTTTGAACTAAACAAATATAAATCATTATAAACCTAAAACTTTAGTTCAAACCTTATAGTTTTACTATTATTTTCATAAAGCAGCATATAAAACTAATTAAGTACTTCTCTAAATTGACAATCTGGAGAACCAACACCATGAATTGAGTGCTACAGTTTGCTACCTGAAACAGTCTTTTCAGATGAATGTTTTTAGAAATTRCATAAGATTTTCCTTTTTTAATTAAAATGATAATATTAAAAATAAACTCACACAGAATATATGTTCAAAAACTTGTAGAAATATGTTTTTTGTTTTTAATTATTGAAATGAAAATATTTCAATGCATATGATTGTCAGGGCATAAAATTTCAGGTTTTATATATTGTGTTTTCCTCCAAATTATCTTTGCATTAAACATTATTTATTGTTATATAATAAGTAAAAACAGTTTAGAAAATACTTAGTGGTAACATTTTAAGAAAGCTTTAATAGAAATGAAAACATAATAATTTATGATCAAATAATATATATGTAYGTAACCTTACATATCTAACATCATTTAACTACAAATTTCAACAACATTTAAAAATAGCTCTGTCCTCAGGTGTAGGGATAATGCAATGTCATTAAGACCACCGTGATGAAATATATGGTTTCCAAATTAGTACTTACATCTTTCTGTGGCTGTGACACTTAGGTTGTACCATGCGTTGATCTCCCGGTCAAGTGTGCTAGTGACAATGATCGTGCCATTGTCACTGATAGTGAACTCTTTAYTTCCAGTAATAGAATATCTGCACCAAGAGAAAAGACCCCCCTTGTATCATCATATTTGCTGTATCACATTGATATATAACATGGCTTTATGCCACCAGGTAAATTATTAAAAGCATACTCTGCATAGCTTATGAGATGCCGGTTYTAAAAATGGCACATTCACATATTTAGTGAACTCAGCAGTCATAGGAAAAAGAAACTAATACAGCTTTACATTTAAATTGGTGTATGCTAAATCTAAACACGCATAACTCATTATCAAACCCAAGAGAGGATTTTAATATGTAAATGACATGGTTAAAAAGAAATACCCTGCCGTCCCCTGCAAAAAAATTTTGTGAGATACAGAGAAGTAAAAGTAAGTAGTAGAAATGAGTGACTGTGAACCTTTTCTTTTTTTCTTTCTTTCCTAAATTAGATCTACTGCKTGAGAATCTGTGTATGATATAATAATTACTTAATTACTATCATACAAAAGTTACTTTTGTCCATTTRAATAAAAAATTCAATAGGACTTGATAAAAATAACTTCTTTTAGGTAGCARATTGACCTTTAATTTTGTTCCAGAATTATATAATATTTCAAGTTCCAGAAATATCCTAGACCCACTGTCCTTTACTTTGGGGATGTACATATTGATTAATGTACAATGGAGCACACATGAAAGGAAGTCAAGGTGCAAAATACGTCATGAGAAAGTCTGCAAAATTATCTCAAATCTACAATGAAAGAAGCCTTGAAGTTCTCTGCATGTCTCATCAGCTTGCAAATGATGAATAATGAAAAGTAAAGTAAAATACCATGTGGTTTCAATGACGGCTTCTCACTGTGCATATATTCCTGAATATTTCCAGGAGACTTCAGTGAGATTTGCCATAATTGTGGCAAAGATGAGAATAATTTAATCTTGAATTGACAGATTTCTAAAAATATTATACTAATTTTTATCATGGTGTTCAAGAAAGAATTAAAATAGAAATTAGAATGAAGACTTAGAGGAGTTCAGTTTTAAATATATTTAAACATTCAGAAGCATTTTATTTAAATAGCTACAAGTGATCATATTTCCCACTGAATATATTTGTCAGCAAAATAAAAGAGAATTTTAATAGTTGACATTTTGTATTAAATATCCCATTTTGTTTCTGGAAACACCACTGCAACTAAAACCCACTAAAAGTTTGATAAGGAGTTATAAACTCTTATAAATTAGTAGATAATGAATAGATCTAGATCCCATTGACAAATTAAAATGGAATAAAATCATATGCGATCCCCTAGGAAGATTGGATAATAGTATGTGATTTAAGCAATAATAAATAATATGAATTATTTTCCTTATTTTTTTCTAGAGCCACCAATTCTGATTATATAGATTTTTTTTCTTTCTCACATCATCTTCACCAGATGAAATCTCCTTGGCCTTGAGATAAATTGCAGCAAATCAAATTTTATATGTGGATGCATTTTCCTTTTACAACATTTTTTAAATTAGGAGAAAACATCAGAAAACTAATCAATAGTAAATTATTTTATTTTGGTTTGTACTATCCTCCTCTCAGTTACACTGGCAATGTTCTCACTAATCCAATTAAATGCATATTTTTAAATAACTTAAGTCTCATAGGACTGTTGTCAACAGTACAAATTTTCCCTTATGCCTCTCACCCAGATTCTGCTTCTAAATTGTTGTGTATGACCATAATGTTATTATTATTTCAAGATAAATTCAATGCTCTACTTTTATTAAATAAAATACAAACTATAGTATTGGATTTCACCAGTCACTCCACTAATGTTCTTTTCCCTTATTCATAGTCCTGTCTGGGATTATGTAGTGCATTTTTTTCCATGTCACTTTAGTCCCCTCCACAGTGTATCAATGTCCTTGTTTGGTATGCCCTTTAGTGTATGGGAAAATATTAGTTGGTGATTTTATATAGTGCCTCTCAAATGTCGGTGTCTGTCTGAGGCTTTCTCATGATCAGATAAAAYGGGCCTGAAAGTTACAGAGGTATCAATCTTGATTTAGTAATTGTAATATTAGCTGTGACTCTTGATCAAAGTATCTGCCAGGTTTCTTCACTGTAAAACTACTATGTTTTTGTAATTATTGAAGATCTCAGGAAGATATTCTGAAAACATTTGGTTTCTTTTTATATATTAACCTACTGATTTCAGTATCCATGTATAAATAATGACCACAATATTACCACTTTATTTTGCTAATGTTGATATCTATTCCTTTGATTATACATTTATTAATTACAATTATTTTACAAGTGATTAAAAATGTGCCCCTTAATTTATCTTCATCAGTATCTATTCATGAGAATTGTTTCCAATGATTCAAACCAAAACTCATCATACAAACCAAATATTTTAATTCATTTTTTGTTCAAATACTCAGTTTTGGACATTGGGTATTAATTACAGCATGATTCCTTGGTCCTTTCACCACACTCCTATTCTTCCATTCTTTTATGGCTTCTTCCTTACATTTTTAGAACCACAATGTTCTCCCTGTAATAACTGTGGATTCAACCARTTCTCCAGTCAGTCTCATTTCTTTTGATTGGAGAAGAGTATTTTAAGCAAAATCTGGGTGCAACAGTCTCCATTACTTCTTGTGATTCCTTTATTTTAAGCCCCCTGAGTAAATATCAAGAGCAAATATATGTATGCATATCTGTGGTAAAAAACAAACCTACCTTTATTATCATATTTATTATATATACATATATAGAGAGACAGTTATTCCTTCACATATGTGGGTTCATGTCAGTGTAGTCAACCAACTATGTATCAAATGCATTTGGAAAATGTGTGTTTATACTGAGTATGTACAAGTTTTTCATTATTTTCTAAACAACACAGATAACAACTATTTAAGTAACATTTACATTGTATAAGGTATTATAAGTAATTAAGAGATGACTTAAATAATATCAGAGAACATGCAGAGTTTACATGTGAATATTATGGCATTTTATATAAACTTCAGAGTTTCATRTAAACTTCAGAGACTTTAGAGACCAAAGATATTGTATCCCTGGGAGTTCTGGAAGGAATCTCCCAGGATATTGATGGATTTCTGCATTTAGAAGGCTTTAGTGTACACTGAGACGTGAGATTCCAATCCTACACCATGGTGTTCATGTAAGGCTTTTCCCATTTCTTTTCTGTATCCTCTTCCTTTGGCTATAGCAGACTTGTTCTCATTATCTGCAGTGTTTTTACGTATTTGTTCAACCCTAGTTTATGTTACATGTATCACTGCAATTACTAAACAGTCATATWAAAACAACAATTCACATGCTGAGCACATTATTTGTTTTTATTTATATATTACAATTAAAATACTATTTCCCCAAATCACTTGGTTATATTTCTATATTTACCTCTTTAATTTTCTTATGTTATTAATTACAATACAGCAAAATACACTTACAGTAGTTTGCATCATATTGGAATATGTCCAAATTCTGCTTGATTTTTCCAAAATTTACATGTATTCACTTCTTTAGACAGAGAGTCCCTTGAATTTGGAGAATTGAAAACTTGTGTCCACCATATGGGGATGACCTAGAACAATTTGATCACTCCCTCTTTCTCTGCATTACCTTTGTATTCAACCATTTCACAGGTTTTATCTTTTAGCTTTAGTTTCAGGTTTTGATCCATTTGTCCAAAACATGTTATGTGTCATTAAAATAATGTTTCAGTTTGGGGAGTTTATGAATAAAACTGCTCTATATTTCTGCCTACAGTGCTTCATGTCAATACAAGTGCACGGTAGGTGAGTTGGATCCACCCAGACACCACAAATTGAGTGGCTAAATATGGCTGAAATTTATTCTCTGAGTCCTGAGAACTCAGAGTCCAAAAATCAAGTGCCATCAAGGAATCATTCCTTGCCAGATGCTGCCATTGTGCTCTGGCCACCTTCACCTCCTAAACTTGTAGATACCCTCCCTCAATCTCTGCTTCCCTGGTSATCTGTTTCCCCCATTTCTGCTTCCATTGTCACTTGTCTGTCGCCCATCCTTGTGCCTAAGTCTTCCTGTCAGGACATCAGCCCTATTGGATTCAAGGCCCACACTCCCGCCCTCTGACCTTCTCCTAACTACTCATCGCTTCGACTTCGACCAGTCTCCCCCATTCAGGCTACATTCTGATGCAGTTTGTTGGACCCAACATCATCTTTTGGAGACATAATTAAACTCAGAACATTGCACTGTCATTATTCCTGAACCAGTGCCCGAGAGGAGGATTTCTGGGGCTTCTGATAAGTGTCTGCAAAACTTTAAAATAATCTTGTATTCTTCTATTTTGAGAAAACTCTTCTATGTGGAAATTAGGTGAGAAGGTAAGAAGAAATACACACAATTGTTTGTTTTCTTATCCAATCAGACTATAACTCATACTTTGAATAAAAGAAAAAGAAAATCACAACATAATAACTAAAAGGAGACTATTTTAATATATAACAAGCATGTTGTATCTGATTGTACCATGAAAATTTATTTCTAAACCATTGTATTTATATCACTTGCTCCTGTTTACTTCTTCACTTTTTGCATGGCATTTYGATTAAGTAGAATTTAAATGAACCACATATCAATGAAAAGTAATTTTTCTCTTCCTTGGTATAGAAAAGGGTTCATTTCCCACCCCCTACACTCTGATTAAGAGTGCATCAACTGCACTGAATTTTTGTTGGTGATTACCTATTTCTTGCATACATTTGTAATGTCCTATTTTACTGCATCTTAAGCAACACTAAGGATCCCTCTGTTAACTAATTCAATTAAATTGGTACAAATTCATTTAAAAAAAAACATGTAGAGAAATGTAGGTGAGCTGTTTCCTTGCTTACATTAGAGTTAAACTTTATTTTCATACTAATTGAGTGACTTATTAATGTAAAGCTGACATTCTAGACTGACTTACCTGATGGGCGATTTCCTTTGATCTGGATCTATGGCAGATACTGTGCCTACAAAAGCTCCACGTGGATTTTCTTCCAAAATTTCAAATATATAAGTTGGGAGGAGGAAAACAGGAGGCTCATCTTCATCCTCCACTCGGACCTTAATGAAAGTGGTGGAGGCATCAGCRTGGTAGATCAGGAGCTCCTTGTCCACATGCCGGTTCCTAACTTTGGCTCTAATACCGTAGTGGCTCTGGTGCTCAAAGTCCACCTTCTACAAAGAAAAGCAGTGTACACAGAAGAAATGGCTTCATGAACCCAAGGTATTACTTAGGAAAAAAATGTATTGCTTATTAAATAGCATTTGTTTTTCAGTTAAATTTTACTTTTTATGTAAATGAATTACTATTATATTATCATGACACAGGCTTCGGAAATTTATCTCTTCACAAACTTTATCGTAAAGTGGTTTGAAGTAAYTATCTTTTCATTTAGAATTAAAATTATATTTTTATAAGCATACATGTCTTGTGGAGTTGACAAATAATTTCCTGGTATTTAGGATCTTTATTCAAAAAATCTCCTTTATTTGAAAACCTTCTTATTTATAACAATTGTACATATAATTCTAAAAGCTCTATAAAATCTCTTTCATCTCTGAACTCATTTTCCCTTTAAACCATAAATCAAGGATTCACATTTCAATTACTTAATGAAGCAAAAAACAAACCAGATACACAAAATAATTAAGTTTTTTGTTTTTGTTTTGCATATTCTGAGAAACAAATAATCTAAAAATATACTTACCTTTTTTAATATAACAATTCCTTCTTGAGTCTCATTATCAGTAATGATGTCAAATGTTTTTGAATCATCCTCTTCAATGCTGTAATCCATTTCTGCATTCTCTCCTATGTCACTATCATATGCCATAATTTTTCCAATAGATGTYCCAATGGGTGCAGATTCAGAGACTGTTAGGCGGTAGAAACCTTTAAAAACAAAATTTCAGATTCTTAGGATAAACACTTAACAAACTCCCAATTATAGCATTCTTTGTGTATGGTGTATAGAAAAATCCCTAGTTATTCTTCTAGTTACTTTTCTAAATTTCAATCTCTTTCTCTCTTTCTTAGAGTGCATGCATGTTTGGGTATGTGTGTGAGTGTGTGTAATATATACACACTTTTTACCTTTATTATAAAATCTGAACTTTTCCTAATAACTTACCTGAGTACCTATCATCATCTCATATATTTTAGTGATATCACCAGTATATATAACTCCAGATACCCATTCATATAYGCACCTTAAATTCTGTGATTGACTTTTATTGCATACTTTGACCATCACAAATTAAATTTGATAACTTTTTTTCCATTTTTACTTGAACAATTCTTGATATTTGAAGTTACTTATGAATGTAAGTGTAGATTAAGTTTGGGAGAGACTGAACACATAATAATCTGGTTTTGAGTTTATGAGCTTTGATTACATTAGCCATATTAAAAAAATAAAGAAAAATGGACCCAAAAGAGTTAATAACTTAATAAGAATTTTGGAGCTGAAGATGACTAGATTGATTTGGTCAGATGAAAATGATATCATATATTTAAATTATATAGATGGAATTGTAAATTACTGAATTCATTTCTTAATTATTTTTTCAGAAGACATGTGCATAAAACTAATAGACTATACCATACTTAAATTATTATTTTTAAAAATTTAGTTGTCTATGGACCTTTCTTTCATTTATTTAAATGCAATGTGAGGCAAGCACTTTATCACTGWGTTACAACTCCAGCCGCCCATTCTTAAATTATTATATGTGATTTATTCTGAAATGTAAGAAATAATCCTAGGTGTTTATATTTCAATGAATGAGACTTCTTGAAAATAAAATATTAAAATAAAGCATACGTAATAGAATTATTTAAAGGAATTTTAGGTTCCTTTAGAAGTATACAGCAAGTTACTTAACAGCTTGCATTTTGAGACTATACTTTTATTTAAAGTGGGAGAATAGTTACTTATAAATTGTGAATATATTACTCTTTATTTTTTGTTTTCTTTGTTCTTTTATTTTTTGGAGTGAATGTAATGATTTAACTGTAGTTCTTTCCTTATGGAAACATTTTTAAAAATAATTGATTTGATTGTAYAAATTAAAGTTCCCAACAATTAATCAAGAGAAAACAATGACATTAACATACACTTCAAAACAGATGCTTCAGAATTAAATATTATTGAGTTTATATTAAACCACCAGGTTTTAAAATTAGAAAACAAAAGAATATTTTCTACCATCAGTACTCAGTCTTTGCAGTTTATTTTACATTCAAAAATATTTTTTTTTCAGCATAAATTCTTAACAAGTCCATATTCTAGTAACTGGGATACAACAAGGTAAAATATATAGAATGATGCTTCCCTCTGCTCATATTAGCAGGAATGAAGCATGMAATAAACTGGATACTAACAAGTACTCCGGCTATGTTGTGGTGGATGGTTTTAAATTTTGATGAAGTGGAACGAACTCACTATTGATATGGCTCTTGGTTAAGAACTTAAATAGGGGAAGAAATATCTGAGGACAGAGAAGATGAAAATCCATGTTGATTGCCTGAAGTTGGTTTTCCAGAAAGCAAAGGGTAGAGTGACACAGATGAGGTCTCAGAGGTCCTGAACAGGATTGAATGGTGTCAGATCATTTAGGAACGCTAGGACCCATTAGTTGATACTAAGGGTGCTGACTTTTCATCTGTGAGATGGGAAGGCATAGAACTGATAAGATGTGACATGCACTTAGCAAGATCATGACAGCTGTGTTGAAATAAACTGAAGGAGGAAGACGGTGAAACTCGAGGGCTAGGTGAGAGCTTATTGCAATAACAGAGACTGATGAAGACAGCAGCAGGATCCAATGTGGTTGGAAGGAGCAGGTGAGAAGCATCCAGATTGTTTTGAAAGTGAGAAACGAACAATACCTGCAAAAGATTGAGTTTTTGGTTTGAGAAAGAGAAAAGGACTTCTAAACCTTAACAGAATCGTCTCCTCTTAAAAGTTGAGTGTGTGTATATGTGTCTTTGCTCACAGAAAAATAAAAATCAGAAAGTATCAGCAAATRGACAGAATTGATCATCAACTCAGCTGAGTAGAAATTAAAATTGAACTGGATTTGGCCCAGTTCAATCTGAGTTGGATCATTAATTCTTCACACCCAGTGGCGTTTGAACTAAATAAATGAGATTTCAGCTTTCACAATATGGAACCTGGATTTTTTAATAATTGAGATAAGAAAATCCGTAGGAATAAGAGGAATAGCAGGCAGATGAGATCAGAAGCTCAATAAAGAGAATGYTAGCTTTTAAATGTGTATAACATGTACAAATGAAGATGCTGAGTGGGAAGTTTGATGTCTACCTGTGGAGTTCAAGAGAAAGTTYAGAATGGACATGTAGACTTGGAAGTTTTCAGGCCTAGCAGCAGTCTTTAAAGCCACAGGGTTGATAGCATCAAGGATTAAGGGTTTTGGGAAAATAAGTCCAATGACTTGATCCCAGAAATATATCAAAGTTTAAACTATGTAGAGACTGAAAGTCTGAAGACTGGGAAAAGACCAAAAACCTAACCAATAAAAAATAAAAAGAAAAGGCATGGAGGATGTTACAATGAGCATTCAAATTGTGTCAAAAAGGAATTTTTCAGATCCATGATACTATWATGGAACCACTGCCATTCTTCATTGTTGACCAAAACATTTTTTGWTACATAAATGTTTTGCTTGACAAGYCAGAAGATTTGAGAACCCGAATCCAGACRAGAATTTGCTAAGTTGAGCAGCATCGACATGATTTAGACCTGTGCATTTAGTGTGTACATGCACACTAACAAACCATTCTCCCATATACAACTAATGATTGGGAAACCTAATATGTAAAAATAGATTTGAATGTTGCTAACTTGCTGTGGTTTWCTGATTATTCTACTGGAAGAAAATGAGTGAAAGTGACTTCTGTTGAGCCATCAACATAAAGATGATTTCACTGGACATTGGGGCATGGGGCAAGTCAGGGAGAAAGGGAGAGAAAAAGAAGATGAAGACATCAACAGTTTTGTTTCATTTTTCAACAGTCAATAATTAGGACATCATGCTCTGGTTGAATATGTGTGAATAGATACAAACACACACATACACAATTTTATTTGCTACTTCTTTGTTCTACGTTTAATCATAATTTCTTYTTATGACAGTTGCTCATGCTTTCTGGAAATGTTTGTAAATGTATTTGTGTAGCTAAAACAGAGTCTCCTCAAAAAGATATTTCCTTAAAAAAAGAATTTTCATACAATCTATCTTACATTTATTATTTGAGCGATCAAAGCAAGTGTCTTATTCTTGCAACAAAATTGAACAATAAAAATAGTCATTTAAATTATTATTTGGGGTCTGCAGAAGAATAATCTCACAAAAGTATCCATGTCCTAATATCTCTGATTCCATAAGTTTACTACCTACAGCCGCAAAAGTGAATAAAAGCTACAGATGAAATTCAAGCTGCTAATCCGCTGGCTTTTCACTGGAGAGCTTATTGTGACTTATCCAAGCATGCCCAACATAATCATACAACTTCTGAAAAGTGGAGAAAGGGGCAAAAGGTTTGGGCAGAGAGATGTCAGTGTGAGAGGTACTTGATAGGGTTGGCTGCTTGATTCTGAGACAGGCGGACTATGTCGAGAACCAGAAGGAGGCATCCAGGAGTTGAGTGTCCCTCAGCTAACAGGCATCAAAGAATCAGGCACTCCCTTCGTAAAACACACAAAACTAATTTCTGCCAACACTCAAGTGAACAAGGTTGTGGACTCTCCCCTGGAGTTTACAGGAGGGCGGAGAGCCCTATCTACACCTTAATCACAGCCTGGTGACCACCCATACCAACTGTTTTTTAAGATGATCAGTTTGTTTTAAGCCATGAAGTTCRTCACAGCTTGTTACAGCAGTAACAGAACACTGACATTCTACTCCTTCATTTGTATTTGACTTCTCACAGTAATGAAAATTATACCTTAGAACAATCATCACCTTCATTTTACGTAATCCTTGTGGTGAATCAGTGCTTTTAGAATGCAAACTCCAACATCTGTTTGTACTCAACACGCTTACATTTCTGTAATAATGATTACAGATGTTTCTACTTACTTTCCTTAAATACTGGCTTATTGTCATTAATATCTGAAAGTTTAATTAGTACACTCGTTGTTCCAGACAGTGCTCCAGGCTGGCCAATCATATCTTTGGCTTGAATAATTACCCAGTATTCATCTTGTAGTTCTCTGTCAGTTTTGGAAGATATTCTTATGACTCCTTTAAAAATACAAAATAATTCCAGTTTTCATTTCATTATTTATCATACCATCATCCTAGTTAAATACTTAAACAGTCCCCCATACAGTCATTCTCTTTCTATCTGCTGAATCACTAAACTGAGCTGTCTACATTATTTAGATGTTTGCATTTGATATGCACATGTACATATTCCCAGCCTCTCTGGTAAACCATTCATTATCTGCTGCTTCTGCCTGACATTACCTCGAAGACCAATAATAATAATGGTTTTAACACCAACTCTGCTTCCAATCTAGAGTGGCCAATGCTAAAAACACTGGTAGATCATTAGTAAACTACATGTTGGTCTAGGAGTTTCAACTCTGCCATGCTATGAAACCCTGTTATGTATTCCCCATACCCTGCAATGTCCTTCCCATCTCTCTTCTACTAGGCCACAGGGTCATTTCAGCCTTCTGGATTCAGATACTCTACCTTGACCATGCAGTCTAAAGTTTTACTTCCTTTCTTTGTCTAACGGAATCCTTTGTTTCACTTTAGAGTTACTCACCAGTTCAAAGTATGTATTTACGAATAACCACACTTAATGCCTATTTATAAGTATCAAGAGAGAAAAGTCCATGTTCAAGTTTGCTTTATGTTATTGTTATGCTACAGTATCAAACCTCTAAAAATCCTGTATGCTATGTAACACTTTGTACCTAGTCAGTCTTCAAGAGCCAAGATTGTGTGAAGGAATTAAAACCTAATGTTTTAAGGCATCTACTGCTTATAATAAAATAATGTCTCTCCTGGGTATCCTGAAAARTAAAATATATGGACCCTCTATGAGAGAAATAAGAACATAGGCATGGAAGTCAGATTCATTCAAATACAATGCTCTCAAGGACTTTGAGATTGGCTAAGATATTTAATATTTGCTAAATGAATRAATACATTAGAAATAYMTAAAAATTAATTTTGTTTAATTTTTAATGTAATCAAACTAGAATAATATTTGCCTCTTGATAACAATCATATAATTTTACTTCTTTTTGCACGTGGTACATATTTTAGCAATTTGTTATAAACTTCTTTTTTATCTCTATCAATTATTATTTCCTTAGGTGAAGACTCATACAAGTATCTTTTTTGTTGTTTTGATTTTTAGAAGCAGGGTTTTTCTYTTTTGCCCAGGCTGGTCTTGAACTTTTGGTTCTCTTGCTCAGCCTCCCASGAGGCTGGGATTTATGTGTCACTGCATCCAACTCTGTATCTTCTTAATCTTTGTTTTGAATACAAGATTTAATATTGGTTAAATCGTTCAGTGTTATATATGTATATGTATTATGTATCCAATAAAAATGTGTAAAAAGAAAGAAAAAATATGTGTTCTATAGATTTTATAAGGCATTCAATTGATAAAAGAAAATTGGAGAAAYAATGAGAGAAAAAGAATCAAATGTAATATTCATCTAAACGAAATACATAAAAACAATACTTTTAAGTGACTTTGTCAAACCAATTCATCCTGTCTTCTACTCTTGCTTAATCTCAGTCATTGGGATTGCTATGCAAACAAAGATATCTCACCATGTTTTCCCGATGACTAATGAGGCTGTTTTTAAGGTTTATAGTCTTTTTCCACATCACTTTTTGTGATTGTAAATCACAAAAATTGCTTGTAAAATTTTCTCCCCATATTTTTCAATTGGTTTGTCTATCTTTTTTCCTAATTGAATTTTAAGAATCCTTACATATGTTTTATACCACATACATAAATCATTTGTGATATGAATATGGAAAATCCAATCATCTAATCTTAGAAAAACAGCTTAAAGACTAAATGTAATTAAATGTTTAGGAATTGCAACCCATTTATTTATTGAAGATTCAGGTCTACTTCAAAACATGTTTTTAAGCTGATATTTGCCTGCTTTAGAATCATGTTAAAATGCAATTTTTAATATTTAATTTTTTAGTTGTAGTTGAACATAATATCTTTATTCTATTTATTTATTTTTATGTGGTGCTGAGGATCGCACCCAGGGCCTTGTACGAGCTAGGCAAGCACTTTACAGCTAAGCCACAACCCCAGCCAACAAAATCAACAAAACGGATTTTTTTTTTTTTTTAAATCAGAAATACCTGTTGTGGGTTCAACAGAAAAATAGGCTTGCCCTTGTCGTAAGCTGTACAGGAGACGTGCATTATTGCCACTCGTAGGATCATCAGCGTCACTTGCTGTTACCTGGATGACGAATGTTCCTGAAGGAAAAGCACATATTGACAGGAAATTAAGACTTCAATATTATTAAATATGAGTTCAATTCTGCAAAGCACTTTTCATTAGCAAGGAARATCATACTATAAAACAAGATCCTAGTTTACCTGCTTTCTCTGAATTACTGAAGTAATGTTATTTTACAGACAAGGAACATAACCCTATGTAAACTAGCCCTGATTCTTCTTCACATTACAGAACTTCAGATGCAGATTCATAACATGTCAAATATTAAGCAGTTTACTATAATGTATAATCCATAATCTTTCCAAGATGTGTTATTATTGGAAAAATTTTAAAAAATACTTGAAAATGCTTTTCATCAAAAATCTTAATGTGGCCGGTACCTCAAACAATTGCAGAATGTTGACAAATATTGATAAAGATTATTGAAATGAGCTTGAAAGAATATCCAGTGGAGGCTAAGAATAATGATTAGGCCTGTTTCAGTTCTTTCCTCTGTACCTATTTGCTTTGAGGAATAACAAAGCAAAACAAAATCTAGTTTGATATTAATAAAGTAAGCCTTCTTTCTAACTTCAGTATTAATCAATACAACCATGTGAAATAATTATTTGTACATTTACTATAAATGCCCAAGTGCAAAAATATTTGCATAAAATATTGAGCTTTGAAATCATATCTATACAAATGAAATTGAGCATTACCAATTTCATCAAAATCTAGATTTGTTGAAACACAATATACACTTTCAAAAAGAATGATCATACAATGGTACAAAATCCCATAAGCTCTGTGATTTTCTTTAGAACTAGTATTATTAATTTCCCCACCACTAACCCTGGACCATGGCATGTGCCTGTAATYCCAGGCACTAGGGAGGCTGAGATATGAGGATCACAAATTCAAGGCCAGCCTCAGAACATTAGAGAGGCTCTAAGCAACTGAGTGAAACCTTGTCTCAAAATGAAAAATAAAACAAAAAGGGCTAGGGTGTGGTCAGTGGAAAAACACCCCTGGGTTCAATTCCCTGTAGCAAAWGAAAGAAAGTAAGAAAGAAAGAAATTTCCAACACAATCCTATTGTATAAACTGGGACACCCTAATAGGAATTGCTTCTATACTTCAAACTGGGGGTGGACCTCAGTATTATGCATTTGTCACTATTTGTWTTAGTTCTTTTAATGTTACTTACAACATTTATTTTAGTATCAAAAAGAATCCCTTCTTGTTACATAACTTTAATTAGGCAACAYTTTCACAGGGTTGAAATAAAACTAGAATAATAAAATACATGAAAAGAAAAATTTACCTATCCCTTCCAATACTTAATTATTCCAACCACTTAACGTGTAGACACGTGTAGACACTTGTTAATTTCTTATATTTGTAAGACATGTCTATACAATAATTTTGATGATTTGTTCAAATAAAATGATTCAGAAGGAGCATTACTTTAACCCAACTGAGTTAGATTGATTGTTTCATTTACCCTTCTAAGTAAACATCCCTTGAGTTAAGGAGTTAGATTCTGTTTCCAGCCCTGCTCTTTAATAGCTCATTTTAAGTTGAAGCTTTCTTTACTTCTAACTGAAACTTACCTCTTGAGCATCTCAATATGTCATTCCCTTGCTCTCTACAAAATGGAAAACCTAGTGTACTGTTGAGAGAGAGAGAGAGAGAGAGAGTGAGAGAAAGAGAGAGAGAAGAAATAAAAAAGAGGGATCTCATGAAATTAGAAGAAAGACCAAAAAGTTGAGGAAAGAGATTGAGAGGGAGGGAGGAGGGGAAAGTAAAGGAAGTACTGAGGAATTAAATCTACCAAATTGTCTTATATGAATTATGAATATACCACAATAAATATCACTTAAATATATAGTTATAAGGCACTAATTTAAAAATAATAATAACAACGATAATAATGCTATAAGGGAGATCAACAGAGTAGAAACAAGCATATCTTGGTGATGGAAGAGGAGAAGAAAAAGGAAGATACGGGGGAATGAGAGATGCATGTGTGAAGAGGGCATAATTAAATTTACTATTATCTATCTATAATTATAAAGCACCAACAAAAATAAAAAAGGTCATCAATAATACATAAACATCAAAAGATTTCAGAAATATAAAATCACTTGATAACATTTTATGCATTCCTATTTTGCATACAGTTAAGAATCAATTGTTCAGTCCACACGACAATGAGAACAATCAGTAGGAGACTAACAACATGTCTTTCAATATAAAATATCCATGGTCTCCTGATCCCTTCTTTCTCATATTATCAGTTACATGCACATTAATTAAGCTAGTTAGATATTTGTATTAGTTCTTTTAATTGGACTCTACCAGACCAAAGATTCTCTTAATCTTAAATATTAGATGTGGATGAGACAAATAAATGATTAATTTCAACACTAATTTCTATAAGAATGCATGATATCCTTCCTTTCTTGGTCAGTAATATTAGAGATGCCTCAAGCTTGAGTCTTGAAGACCTCCACAATGCTTTTTTCATGTACCCCAAGGTTTCTGGGCTTCTAAAACTACTTCTTTTTATGTTGGGATCATTGTTTCCAACTAAAACCTCTGCCAGTAGGTTTATAAGAAATGTGGCTCCATATCCTGATCATCTGTTCCCTAACAGTACCCCAATCATCACTATGAATTGTAATTGTTCTGTAAAATATCTCAGGAACTATTCTACACAAGAACCATTGCTTTTACATGCTCATGTATACCTACTTATGAAATTGTTTAAAAAATATTATTTCTGTATAAAATTGCATTGTGATTTTTTTAATTCAAATTACAACTAAATATCTCATGCTATGAGATATTTACATGACCTTCACAAAATAGTATATTTTTTCGATGGCAATATGTATTAGCACATTTCATGTGTAGGTACATTTATATTCTAATATTGCTATGCTGTACTGAAGAGTATTTATATTACATACATTTGTATTTCATATACATTATAGAATCTGTGTGAATCCTTAAAAAATTAATCTAGATAACTGTTGAAAGGGATCCTAATTAGGATTCTAAAAAAATTTACAACTATTATTCCACACAAATGAAGTGATAATTCAATAGAGAATATAAAATTTTAATGAAATTGGATCATTAAACACATGGTTCTTTTACCAGTAGAAAAGCAATCAATATACATTTTAGCATTAATAAAATAAAGACGGAACATGTAAAATATTACAATAGAAATATAAAGTCATCTGAAAAATTGTGACTTTTATTTGTAATAAAACTTTAGAAAATTGGAAATAAAAGGTACTGTATAAATCTGAACGTGAACATTTTTTAAACTTGGACTGAGTCATATTTAATTGGAAAGTGCTAGCACATTGCTTCTGAAATAATTTTAAAAAGTGATGCCTCCTATCACAGTTATTTTTAAACATTGTACTGGACTAAAATGTTACTACTAAGTATTTACGAGGAAATGAGGGATGATAGATATAGAAAAAGAATAAGTAAAACTACAACAATTGCAATAATGTTTAAAGGCAAAAGTATTGTACCAGAAAATTAAGCATAAGCTATATGTATAATAGTTTACAGGAAAATATTAAATTAATGAATTTAGATGATCATGGGCATAAAAAAACCCAGGATAGATATGTGTACATTAAATAGCTTTGTCCTTACTTCATCTTTAATTCCTGTTGTTCTACTTTAGGACATCATCCTCTGATCGTATTTGTATAGTTGATGAAAACTTAAAAATTGAAATTGGCCAGATCCTTGAATCTCATCAGGAGGAATAAACAGAGAGTAGAAAAACCTTTACTTGGTTATCAAGGAGTCTAAAGGCCAGTGTGCATCCCTCAGTGGAGTCAGTATTGTTTGGTCAGAGATCCCTGAGCTTTTAGGAAATAGGGAGAGCTAAATGACTGGACTCTACCAGCCCAAAGATTATCTTAAATCAATGTGTATCTAACCTGTTTTATTAGAAAAGTATAATTAGATGACTGTGGTCTCAGAATCACATTGCGATAAGACTAACTTATCAATTGTCTTACTTGTTCCAATAATAAACATAAAATATAATTGTATGATAATTTTGGTTTCTATTTTTACTATGATTACTAGTATCAGTTGGCTGTATTACTCTTCAGAGACATTTTTTTACAATTGAAATTAAAAATATTGGTTATGTCTTTGTAGCTAGCTTCTGAATCATTATAACTATCTGTCATAAAAAGTCCTTGTGAATTTAAGTTTAGCTTGATATTTGGCTAGACCTATTCAAACAGGYACTCTATTTGTAGAAACTTATTGTTAAGTAGGTGACACAGGATATCAACCTGCACTGAGTGCTTCAATTAAAAGACATGGTTTTTAGAAGTCTTTGGAAATTGCCTTTACTAATTAGTTCTGACACATAAAATTATAATAATAATATACACACATACTAATAATTCTTATGTATGTGGAGCTGCACTTAAATTACATTTTTGTGGCAATATTAATAAATACTAACCTATATAAAGTTATGTAAATGTTTTTGAAGATTGAATTCATGATAGCATCAATAACAGAATTTCTCAGCACATGAGACTTATTCTGCCATCACTGAGAACAATCTTGTGTAAGGAAAGTGTAGCTCTGTCACTGTTGATTATGTGCATTTTATTATCAACCAAGAGTTTCACAGAAGATTGAACAAGTCTCCTACAAATACTAACTTTAACATTACAAGAAAGCTTTATTGAATGATATTGTCACACATCACATAGAATGCTTTAATCTCTGGTGATTATGGGAGGAATCCAAACACAAAAGCATAAAGGAGAGGTAATTTTTTTATATGAGAGTAATTTGCTATCATGTACGTATTAAGGAAGTCAGCAACCTGTGGCAAGAGCATTTCATAATTAAGGCTTGCATTTATTACAGAATCCTAAATTAAACACATGTGCTATAGTTTTTTTATTTTACTATTTGCTGAATTCAAACTGCATATTTCAAAATAACTCATTTGTTTTAGTATGTAATATCTTGGTGTGAAATTCTATGTTATAAAGGTTAACAGACTTCTTTTAGAATGAAAATATAAATTGTCCAATAGGAAAACTATTTTAACTTGCAGTTTTAATATGAGTGCACTTGAATTAATCTCAAATAAATTTTTGAGATGTTGATTTGTATAAAGCAGCATAGATTAAAAAAAGATTTTTACCTGTACTCTAAGGCTGTGATTTTAGTAATAATCAAAGAGATATAAGGTGAATTAGAGAATAGAGTGGTCAAATTCAGGATGAAAATATTAGTTTCATTGGTTCTCCTGTTTCCACCTTTCAATGGAGACCTGATTTTATCAGTGTGAAGACTATTATTTATTCACAAGTCCTGACTGGCCTATCCTCAGTGGATTTATATTTGAGAAGCAATTACTTTACAACCTAGAACCTCCAAATAAAATTCTGAAAAGAGACAGTATTTTCCTACTTGTCACCTTAACTGTGCAAAGTATTCCTCAATTATTTCTGTTTTTCTGTCCATAACTATCTGGAAACTAGGTCATTGTTATTATTTTTGTGTTTTATTTTTGACATCTCAACTTTTTATAATTTGAGATAGTATAATCCAAGTCAAACAAATTAGACTGTGTAAGAAAGCAAAACATTTAGAAAGAATAGGAAAAACAATTTATCCCAGTCTAATTTATTTTCAGCTCATGTGTCTGAAGGCATAAGATTCTTAAAATCTAATTTTGAAATGTGGTAAATTTCAAGAAATAACATTTTTTTTCTTGCGAAGGAATTGAAATTAAATTTACATGCATTTTACATTAATCGAATTTAAACGTTTTTCTTATCGCCACTTATTATGATATACTTGTGCCATATTGATGATAAAATAATAAAAGTGAGTTTTATATGTGCTATTTCAAAAATATAAATTATGTGAATTTAAATATTTCCTTAATAATCATAGAATTCAGTATAACCCACTTTATTCACATTTCAAATCTGAAAGGTTATAATAATCCTTATTATCTTTAGAAAAACTAAAGTTTTTCTCATAAGACATTTCACTTTCAAGAACATCCTGACTTTGATAATAAGTAAAATGCCCATCATAAAGACCAGAAATGTTGGACTCTTGCTAATGTTGAAATTGTTGTTTCATGAAAAATTGGGTGGACAAAATTTATTTGATAGTGCTCCAAAACATGGGAATAGAGGACATTAACTAGTAATTTATTCTAGCTATCTATAGGGAGAAAAAAAATATAAAACCAAACTTTAAAGTATTCAGGCTTTAAATTTTTTTTGTGTATGTATACATATACATATATGACAAAATTTTTATGTATACATACCTATACATATATGATAAATAATTTTAACACTAATTAGCATTTGATGCATGTGAGGTCTAAATATTTATTGATTATCATTGTTTTACACATAATGTGGCCTAACTTATTAAAGCATGATTCACTTTTAGCAGGATGTTGTAGTGATCTGCAGAAAACAAATCACTTGAGTCTGCATTTTAAAATCCTTCAAGGCAAGAGTTCAGTGTTTAAAACAAACACTTCTAGGTAGGTTTGGGTGATATTGGCAGAACCTGTCAAAGGAGGTTTTATTGTTCATTAAGCAGCATACAAAATCTATTTTTAAATGCCCTTTCCTTTGATGACATGCTAATGTTTTATGTAAAAGCTAATGGCCGTCATGGAAAGGACGGATTATCTGTTTGATAGACAATTACTATGGTACCATTAAAAGGACATAAAAAAGAATATGTAGCTTTTGCACTAAAAACTTTCCAAATGATGACTCAGCATTTACAATTTACCTCCAGCTCTTGGGGTATTATATGCCTCCATCCAGACCAGTAAAGTCTTCCTGCATTTCACAGCCACCAGTATCAGCTACCAAACCTGTCCAGTCACTTGTGTAGCATTTTTGACCACAAATATATCCATTCATTCATTTATTTGATCGTTCCAAACATGAGGCACCCCATGTCTCCTGGTATTGTATTTTCACATGGAAGGAAGACTAGGACTTTTGCCAGCCAGGGTAACAAGTGGGAAAATATAATGTTTTATATCCATTCCACTTGACAATTGAAGTTTGAAAGTAAGTGCATTTCAAATATAAACACAATTGGCCAAACCCCAACATTATATGTAAAGAAATGTATGTTTAATAAGCAAATGTATAATGAATATTCTATGGTACTCATAAATATGGATGAATATTGTCAATCAAAAATAATTAATTAATTTTAATAGAGAAAAATTTGTAATGTTTTGGGTTTTCTCATGACATTCAAATGTAGATTTCTTTCAGTAATTCTAACTAAATTCTAAGTTCAAAGCGCAGACTCAAAATCTAATAATTAGTGGTTGACTCCAACACAAACCAATATATTTAAGAAAAAAAATTGCACTGGTTAGTTCTTAAAGGCTGAAATAGTTGGATACTGAATTTGGAAACAATGGCAACATGGAATTTGGAAACAGTAACCCATCACTTGGCAGTAAATATGAAAATAAATTGAAAAATTAATGATCTATTTAGTAAAATAATTCACTTTATTATTGATTAAACATTACAATAAGCCTGTATAATTATATTATTTGGTTTCTTTACTCCTAATCAAAGTCAACAAAGCGCAGAAATGCTTCAGAGGGCGCTGATGAGAAGGTTAACAGAGCAATAGGTATATCTCTCTATGTTTGTAATAGACACCTTGATGTTACAGACTTTGTTGGACTTGGCCTCCAGGGAGGTATAAAAAGTGCTCAGTAGTGTTACTATGAGTCCATGTGCAGCCTGAATCCTGACTGGCACTTTCATAAGACGTCATGATCTATGCAAATTGACTAGAAGATTTATGCATGGACCTCTAACAGGAGTGCACAAGATGAGTATGGCAGTTAGATAGTGCCTGCACTAAACCATGATTTGGGGGTCTCTTGGAAGCCACAGTTAGACTGCAGTGATACCATGTTATCAAAACTGTAATGTATTCAAAATAATCCCCTTGTAAGTGCACCATTCGACTCTGAACAACACCTGCTTTTTAAAATACTTCATGTCTTTCTCTTCTTCCTACATCACCAGCCAAATCTGCTCTTTCTAATTTGCCAGCCCACCCCATTTTGCTTAGCAGTGGAGTAAGCCCGGGTGTTTTTGAGCTCCCTAGCTGCTGCATTCTCTGCTAAAAGGATCTCAGTTATGACCTACATCATTGCCATATGTCAATGACTCACACACTGCTACAAACAGTCTTCATCACTCTAATATGGAAATCATCCTGGGATAAGGTGTGGCTGGCCTTTTTGCATCACACACTTTAAAACCCACCTTTTAAAGTGGCCCCTATTTCTCCATGCAATTCATCATCATCAATCATTTACACTTTACATTTTCATAACCCATCTTGTCAATTATAATCTTGCTTAAAATTAGTTATTTCTTGTTTGTGTACGGAATTAAAATATAATCCATGTTAGAAATTAATTTCTGTGTGTTCTTTGCAATTCTATTCTCAGTTTTACAGAAAAGCTCCTAGTACATGAGTATGTGAGATATGCTTGATGAGAAAGAAGGATAAGTCAGAAGATTAAGGAAGAAAAAGGAGAAGGATGAGAGGAATGAGGAGGTAAAGAGGAGCCAAGCAGGACAGAGAGGAAGAGAAGGCAAGGAACTATTCCTTTGCTTAGCAAACAAAATTGAAGTATTTAAAATAATTTTTAATATCTAATAATAATTTGGATACATATTTCACAGCTTGATTTGTTTACACACTAGTTAAAATACTTATATTCTAAAGGATGTAGAAATATACCTTTGAATTTCTACCTAGAATATTAAAATATAAGAAATCAGAAAATTATATGAAAGAATATATATTTTTGGAATCATTGGATAATGAATCACATTTTTAGGTAAAGCAGTTTTAAAACATGTTAGCATCATTTTAAATGATCGTTATGGAATCCTATTTGTCAAATTTAAGTAAATTTTTGAATTAAATTATACTATTTATTGTGCTTTTAAAGTATTTTCACTGATTGAATTAAGGGAAAATCTTTGCATAAACATAGTTTTTCCCCTACTAGAAAAACATTTCCAGTTTTCAAGGCAATAAATTCCTATGTCTTATGGAAACCACCCTGTTCTTTATATATCATATTTAAATCATTAGTAACAATAGCATTGGACTTTAAAAGAAACTTGAAATAGTTGCACAGGGGTTTTCCACCACTTTGCTTCATTTTTAGTCTTTACATTCCTTKGTTTTGATGTCAATAGTAGCTCTTGTTTTATAAATTGGCTTTCTATATTCTACATAGATATCCTGCAGAATTTTATTAATTGCTCAAATAAACATGTTTGAACTTTTTTACTGCTTTCCAGAATGAGACAAATTTAATAACACAGGTAATTTATTAATGCACAGTACCATTTAAAAAATTTTTTTTACCATAGACTAGTTTTTTTAAAAATATTTCACTTAAACATGTTCATAGAAGGAAGTATTAATGTCATACTTAGATAATCCACTTCCAAAACATATGCTCAAAAATTTAAAATTTGTTGTCATTGTTAAAATATCTTTGATGTAAATTAATATGCAATACCTTCTGGAGACATCTCTGGGACAATGGCCTCATAAGGTTCATCTAGGAATTTTGGTTCATTGTCATTGATATCCGAAACTCTGATGACAAACTCAGACTCAGGCTCCACAGCCCTTCCAGTGGTGGTGTCTATTACCTGGGCTCTCAGGGTGTAGAGGGACCGTTCCTCTCTATCGAGCTTCTGTATGGCATATAGGTCACCTGTTCTGTTGTCAATGGTGAAAAGACTTCCAGCTCCATCTCCCCAAAGCTTGTATTGAAAAGAGTTGTTTCCATTGTCCAAGTCAGATCTTAGCTGTGAGTACAAACAGGTACAACTGAGTTTCCAGATATGCTCAAAATGAAAAATCCATTTTAAGAGTTCATTTTCTTTTGTGCTAATCATTCCTTGAGTTAATAATTCTATTTAATTCCTATATTATTTTAACTCACACATCAATTTCAAATTTAAGATCGACCATCAGAAAGAGAGTTAATTTTTTTAAATATAAAGAACTACAGAAATTTGATTCTTCTACATAGACAATTCTAGTAATATATTATTACTGAAAAACAAAGCCTCTTTCATAAAATATTCACAACATAGCTGGTCCATGTTTGTTCTATGGTTACATCCTTGGTCACTAAGACCAAAGCCTGGAATATTTATATTTGGTTGGAACCTAGAGAAAATTTTACTTATATCTATGATCACAAATAATTATAACATTACAAGTTACATAATACTGATGAACTCAATCTTTTCTATGCAGAAGCAAAGACAGAAAATTTTAAAAAATTACCCAGAGTCTCAGGTTTCTGGGAAGTTTTATGATTTGGCACAGGACTGTGGATTCCAAGATTCACCAGTGATGATAATTATATAACATGCTTTTAAATCTTTAATTTTAAGCTAGAAAATGCCCACTCTTTCTAACACATTTTACTTGATGTTTAAACATACACTTTTCTTCTTTTTATTTTGTGAAAAATTGCTCATTCATAGTTTTGATGAGTTATTTAGATTTTAAAATTTATATGTCAAAAGATGTCATTTGATATTGATATGGTTAAATTGGCTGTCTGGTTTATCATAATTAAATCTACATAAATAATTCTCCTTTTGTACGTAAATGATGCCTTTGTTATTACAAATGTGAGTATATTCACCATTCATGAATATACTCTTCTTCAAAGGAAGACTTCCTATGAAAATACAGAGATAACCATGAAATGCCATCCTAAACCAATTACAACTTGTCTGATGGCTGCAGTTAAAAGTTATTATTCCTCACCAACTCATAAAACTTTTCTATGCTATTGTGGAGAAATTCTAAACATACCCCAAATAACAATAATATAGTATTATTGCTGTTGTTGCTCTTATTGTTGTTGTTTTAATCTGTATTATCATTGCTACATACTGGAAGAAACAGATTTGGGAAAACTAACATCCAACTTGATATTATGGTTATAGCTTTTTTAGTTTGATAGTCCTTAATTATTTATAAAGAGACGAGGTTTTCTATGTCATGAGGTTATGAAATTAAGAATAATTAATATATTTTCTAATGAATATGTCAAATGAGCAATGAATAGACCATGTTTTTTAAATGATATCACTTCAGTGTAGTTTTAAAATTTGTTCAATATTGAATGAAGGTAAATTAAATTCAGTAAAGAATAGGAGTATACCAAGCTTATTTAAATTATAAATTTCAAAGACCAAGGAGGTTAACATTTTTAAAGACACATTTTTTTTTCTTTCTTTCTTTTTTTTTTTTTTTCGGTACTGGGGATTGAACATAGCAGCACTCAATCACTGAGCCACATCCCCAGCCTTATTTTGTATTTTATTTAGAGACAGGGTCTCACTGAGTTGCTTAGTGCCTCACTGTTACTAAGGCTTGCTTTGAACTCAAGATCCTCCTGCCTCAGCCTCTGGAGTGCTGGGATAACAGGCAAGCGCTACCATGCCTGCCCATAAAGAACAATTTTAAGTGGTAAATCACCAAAACTCTTTTACTGAACACTTGCCTCTAAATGTCACAAAATGCATGTGTTAAACTCATTCTGATCTCATGCACTATAGTACATATTTTGAAATTTACTATATTTTTATTTTAAAATATTTTCTCAATTAAGCAGCTGTTAAATATTTGACCAAACAATGTCACTTTATTTTTTTTAACATAACTGCCTTTCCAATTTTTATTTTTTTTAAATGAATGTATCAAAAGGCACTTTTGTGGGACACATCTTACCAGCAGTTCTTCAGTTGCATACACCTAAACATCCCCCAAAGTTTCTTCCAAACCAGTTATCTCAGTGTAATGTGAGTCATGAGGTTGTTTAGAGGAAAAACAAGTATTTTCATGGATGTTTGTTATAGAAAGAAAAGAACAGGCGAAGCCAATCATTCTGTGAGATGAGGAAACAAGAGGCTGGTGTAGGTGGCAGAAACGGAGTAGGAAATGTGACAGCCAAGGAGATAGTCTTTGTTCCTGTCACATTGGTACAGTTAAGTACCTTATTTACGAAAAGCCACTGAACGGTATTTGCCTGTCACCCTCTTCAGTGACAGAAGAGTTTAAGTCATTCTGGAGATCACTCTAAATGGAGCTAGATAGACTCAGTTCATTAGCAGCCCCTTAAGACGGACCCTATTTGTGCCACAGGGCATGTGATTTACCTGCAGACATTGTGGAGAATTAAAAGGGTAAGGAGGACCCTGTGGGAGACAAACACAGACACACAGGAGTGTTCTGAAGCCTGTTTGCCTAAGATCCTAATCTAAGCCTGTGGTTGAAGGCACTCCTGTGCCTGTGGTTGATAGGATAGAGGTACTTAGATGGAATCCAGAAACCACACTAATGCTGAGGCTCCCCTGAATGGGCTAGAAGACAGTTAATGAATTTTGAGTGCTTCACCCTTTGGGCCCAATTAAATTTTAGTGCCAGTTAATTAGCGGTTAAACGTACTTCAATTCATTCATCTAGAGAAAGAACCTTATGGAAAAGGACATGATATTATAATTATCTGTGTTTAAAGAAAACCAAATAATAATCAAAACCAAAAACATAAATTGGAGGTGTTCTGTCTCATTAGGGATATTTTCTTAAAATATATTCTTCTAAGAAGGTGAGAGTAACTATTCTTTGCACTTCAACTTCACTAATCAAATGAAGTGTGTGGGCTTCTGACACTCCTTGACTGCAAAAGGATATAGTATTAAACTGTTTCATTAAAAATGAAGGAGGGATAAATCAATAGCTATTTAGCATAACAGAAAAATCAGGCAAAAAAATGTTGGTAGATGATATTTGACTCATTGAGTCTGCTTTATTACCAAAAATTGCACCACTGAATTTCTAGCTATTGATCAATGAAGGCAGCCTTTTCATGTAGGAGACTAGAGTGAAATTTGAACCCAGAACTCAAGTTTTTAATGATGTTCAGGTGCTTGAAAATTCTAAATAATTAATAATGTTCATGTTTGAGGTTTTCTAGTGGTTCCACTGAGAAAAATGCAGAACTCAGCAAACACCAAAACCATGGACTGGAAGACTTTCAGAAAGTAAGTACCCGTCCAATGTAATGAATTCCATTCATTTCCTCTGGTACAAAGAATTGGTTCCACACCCAGCCTCGCTTCACTCTCCAATGAGAGTCTGCCTGTTTTTCAGCCTTCTCTCTACTAGAGTCTCCTGCCACTGCAAAGCCAGGCCAGAGGCAGGGGATCCCCAGCACACAAGGCAGCAGCCAGCAAACGTGCATTGCGATGTCTCCTTGGGTACCAGTGTCACTCTTCCAAGGACAGAGTGTGTAGCCCACCAAAATCCTGTGCTTCTTTATCGTCTTTTTTTCTCTCAAATATCTTTTGTATCCCTAAAGCACAGAAACAAAACAAAAATTGTCTTTTAAGAAATAACATTTTCTCCCATAATTACTAAAGACAGGTTACAGCTTTTGCATCTGAGAGAAATGGAATAAAATATACATTCAATTTATCCTTTGATTAAGCTAGTGAATTATATTTTGTAGCCCAACAATAATCCGATTGCAATAATTATAAATTTCTACTCAAGGAACACTTGTTGTAAACTGTAATCACAAATCCGCCTGAAGGTTGAAAACTTACTCTTAGCTATCTCTTGACTGACAGATGACATAGAGAGAGAGAGTTTTAAAATATTATTTAATTTACTTATGTCCTTCTAGCCATCTCAGAAAAATTCATACTATTCCCTTAAAGCAATCATCAAGTCATGAGTAAAAACCGAGGCATGTATTTATCATCTTTTCATGCAATATAAATAAGATTTATCTTCCAGTTTTGAAAATTATCATGTTTTATGTAGTTAATTAAATAGACAAAGTAATAATTAAGCTTAAAACCCAAGAAATGTAATAATAAGTTAAACTATAAAAGATCCGAACTAGAAAGCCTGTGCAGGATATTTACCCTTGTATATTTTGAAAGATTTGGTAAAATTATTTCTCATCGAAAACAAAAAAAGACATTTTTTAGGATTAAGTACAAAATGTGATGCCAGGGTAAAATGGCTCATGGTTTATGATATGTATGATAGCTATGAAATGAAATAGTAAAATAAAAAACTCAGCCTACTGAGTTTTTCATTCAAAACCTATTGTTGAATGGAAGCTGATGTTACAAATTGTCTCTTTCATAATTGGTAATGCTCATCCTTATATGTAATTGAATAACTTCATATTTCCCTCCTCTATTTAGGATTCTGTCAAACTATGTGGGGTTTCTTTCTTTAGCCACCATGAAGGAAAATTTGGTGAGATCCACAGTAGCATTTACTTTCATGAACTCATCAGGAAAGCCATACCTCCTGGCTTAGAAGTATTTCAGCATGATCTTGTTTTGAATATTCTGTAGGTGTTTTTTTAATGATTCCTGAGAGAGTTTGGGGTCTTTGGCTCTTGTTAGGAAAGGTTATTAAAAAACACTTAATTAAGAAAGAACACAGGGATTCTGTGTTCCCTCTCTAGTCCCTTCAAGTGGATGTATTTTTGTTACTTGTTTACTTAATGGAGGTCATGAAGAAATTCAGTTGAAATGAAAATTAAGGATAAATTTTATCCTTACATTGAATATTTTAAGTACTTAAAAAGTCTATTTTTTAAATGTTCGTGAAAAATATATTTTGATAGCTAGTAAATAATCATTTGTAACAAATACAGTTTACTTAATAAAAAAGATATTTTGCATAAGTTTGGTAAACTATCACTCAGGGTGATAGGAAAGTATTTGTCTTATTTGACAAAGTGATATTTCTGTTAACATTATATTGTAACCTTCTCAGACAACTAAAAATAGAGAAAATAACATAATGAACCATTGTGCATCCCTGTACAGCTACAATAATTACCAGCACAGGGACAACCTCACGACATGGATACATACACCACATTGGAGTAAAACAGATTTCAGATGTCACATCATTGTAACCACACCAGACACACTATACTTGAGCTTACGTGATACATGTGTATTTGTATGCACCTCTAAAAATCAAAATTGGATACTTAAAGCTAATATTAAGATTTTGACACAATCAAATACACATGGAGTGTTTAAATTAAAAAGTTTCAAACATCTTTGAATCACATTTCAAATATATTCACACAATATGGTGTGCTGAGATATTTGTTGTCTTGTTGTTAACTCAGTTTCCTCTATTTTTCATTTTCCTTTCCATTTATGTGATATAGTCTTTGGTCTCTATATTGTTCCCCACCCTCTGAATATTGCTAAATGTATTCCCATGTGTGATCAGATATGGTTCTTTATCTTGTGAATTCTCTATAAATTTCTAGTGACTTTCTTCGATACAATTTAAAATACTTGTTAAACATAACCATAACTCATGTTTTACACTTCTTATTGCATGACATCCAGTGGCTGAAATCGCCTGGAATTTTTTTTTCATATCTTGTTTTTACTGTAGTGGGAGATGGTTTTTTATTTTCTCTATATATGTATTAGCAGATGATATACTATCAGAGGAATCATTTGTTATAAATTTTATAGTAAACTTTCTCTTAAGGTTTTTTTAGTTTTTGACAACTATTGCCCAAATTGAATGTTTCAGTAACCACAGTGTGAAACAATGAAGAAATATAAACTCTAAAAAAACCTAAAAGTAATCCCCCAAATTTAATAATATGTTATTTGAAAAAAAAATTCACAGGACGATTTTTATCAGAAGGTTGAGTAGTGCAGAAGAAAATATCTTTGGTTATGAGGACAATTATGAGGACAACCCATCAAACTAAATTACAGTGATAAAACTAACAGTACACAAATAATTTTTAAAAATAAAGAGGATTTCAATATCTTTTGGAACAATATCATGTGGCATAGCATATGTATAATTGGAATTGCAAGAAAAGAGTGATAGTGTAAAAAACATTTTTTAAATGGCCAATTATTTTTCAAATATGCCTTACATTGTCACATTGAAAAAGAAAAAAATAATAACCTCAGTAAACACCAAGAACCCCTCCAAAATAGCAACAAAATCAACCCAATTATGCTCTTGTAAAATACTAAAATTATATATATATATATATATATATATATATATATATATATATGTNTGTGTGTGTGTGTGTGTGTGTTTATATATATATATATATATATATATATATATATATATATATATATATCTTAAAATCACTGTTGAAAACAGCAAACAATAATAATGTTTGTTAAATGTTCATCAGATCTGGGTGTGATAGCAGCCTGGGAGGCTGAAGCAGGAGTATCATGAATTCAAAGCCTGCTTTAGTAAAAGTGAGGCATTAAGCAACACAGTGAGACCCTATCTCTAAATAAAATACAAAATAGGGCTGGAGATGTGGCTTAGTGTCCTAGTGCCACTGAGTTCAATCTCTGGTACAAAAAAAAAAGAAAATCATCAGAAATAATGTATGGTAAATGGAAGCAGAATATCATGCCTGAAGTTCTCAGAAAATACACTCCAATTTATAATTATGCATCCCACACTATAAGAACAATATTAAGCAGAAATGCAAGACTTCACCAGCAGCAGGACTTCATGACAAAAATAATGAGAAAATCTTCAGATGAAAGACATATGCACAAAAGTAATGAATCATGTAGAAGTATTAAATATGAATGAAATTAAAGGGCATTTTGCTTATTTATTAATATATTTAGAAATTGATGTAATAACAACAACATATTATGGGATATATAACACATGAAGAAGGAAAGTTTGTAATGATAGTGGCTCAGATGGTGAGATATGAGAAGTGGAAACACCTTCCCTTACAAATGGAGTGACGCAGCAGGCCTTCAAATGATGACCCTGATAAGTAAAGAACTCCAGTTCAAATCTCTGCAACAGCGAGATCTCACAAAAAACAATGTACAAAAGGAATAATATGAATACAAATAAAGTCTTAGTATGACAGTATAAAAGTACATTTCACCAAATAGAAAAAGCAAACTCAAGATCATACAAACAAACCCTACAAAATCAATCACTGTGATAGAAAGGAATCAGTGAAACCTGACAAAGAAAAGGAGAAGATTGTCACATAAAGTTTTAAAATTCAACTATGTACTATGCAGAAGGAGAACACTTTGATTACAAMTACACAAGAAATTCATCAGCAGGATGATAAGTAAGACAGTATAAGAATCATGCCTTAAGATATTGGAAATAGCCGTAAAAGTACTTTGAAGTAAAATCCCATGACCATAAATATTACCTGAATAAGAAGGGACATTTATTAAAGATAAAATAGATACATTCATCCAATTTTAAGTATGAGTCTACTTATTACAGAGCTTAAAAATACATGAAGCAAACCTTATCATGGTTAACAAAAAGCAGACACAGTCACGTTCGAGGAGGATGGTGGATTATTTACCACTATTCTCCTTTATTGAAATGCCAAGAGGACAAAAAGATCATGAAGTACATGAAAGATTTAAGAAGTGAGCCAACTAGCTTCAAGGAATGAAGCCATTGTAGAGAGCCGCACCAACAGAATACAGATGTTTTACAAGGACACATGATACATTTTTAATGGAAGAACATACACTGGGCCATTAAAAACTTTTTTCAACCATTTTCAAAGGTTTCCTTATTACAAAGTACACTCTGTAATGGCAATAAATAAAGTATAAATCAATAACAAAATTATTTTGGGAAATAGCTATGCATTAACAAAATTAAAAGTATAGTATCCTTATATAACCAAATTAAGAAATCATCAAGAGAAGATTGAAGCAATCTCAATGAAAGCAGAAAAAGAAACAGTTACTTGAGAATAGAAATAAATAAAATAAGAATGGTAATGACACAAGGAAAATTAACAATACCCGAAGGTGCTTCTTTTAAAATATCAATAAAATTTATGACTAATTAGTCAGAATAATAAGGGAAAAATGAAGAGGCACAAATTAGCAACTAAAATGAAGGAGAGGATGGTAATGTATCTTCTACAAATTTAGAAGGGGGATGTGAAAAACACTGTGAAAATGTTTAAGACAATAACTTTGACAACTTTTATCAAATATTGAAATAAAAATTATTTAGTGACATAAAGAATATAAAATTGGAATTGTTCAATAGATCTTAAATGCATATTCTATAATGTACACTTTCCTGCAAGGAAACACATAGATCCAGGTACATTGGAATACAACATTTACGGAAGAAATACTACTAATCTTAGATAACTTTCTTCCAGAAAATACAAGTAGACATTTCCCTACTTATTATAATGAGACAAATATGATATGATTATCAAAACAAACAAAAACACAATATACATTTAAACTACCAATTGGCCTCATGGATATAAATGCAAAATCCTAAACAAAATAATAATTATATAAATAATAAATAATCCAAACTTTTTAAAAAGGAAATGCATCAGAAAACAATTTTATCATTTCTGTGAAGAATAAAAGGGATTTTGATTCAGATATTGATCAGCATAATTTTCTCTATTTACAGAATGCAAAGGGAAAACCTTGCATAATCTCAGTAGACACCAGAACCTGCTGTTTAAGGGCAGTACCCATATATGTAATGCCAACTCATAATGGTAGAAAGCAAAAAGAGCTCTGGTACTCCAACAAAGGACAATTACATAAAATCTACACCCACCATCTTAGTTTAAATTATAAAATGAACATTCTCCCACTAACATCAAAAACATTACAAGGACGGGGGCCCATTGCACTTCTATTCTTACACACTCTATTCTACACTTTTGTAGCAAGTGCCATAAAGAAGGAAAAGAAATAAGTGAAAAACAAAAAGGAAAATATCTTCAATTAAGAACAGTCAATTTCTGCAAAAGAAAAATGGGATGAATTGAGATGATAGCAATATAATGGGAAATGAATCCTTAAGTGTTGTGAAATAGGAACAATGAAGAAAACACAAATGTCACACACTCAATGCAACAGTTATATTTCTACATTCTAGAATCATGCTATTAAAATGTGAAATAAAAACGCCTTAGACAAACCCTTTGAAAAACCCTTTCATGATAACAAATTATGGGCAAGATCTTTATACATAAAATAGAAAATACTGTTGAAAAAATAAGAATTAAGAAAACAGAAGTATTGCTCAATAATTAGTAGACCAAATTTTATTGTGATATAATTTTTCTAGTAGGTTCAGGTTTGTCATTTTTTACTAAGACAGAGACATAATGGCTATATTTATTTTTTTGTTGAAACAATTTAAAACACACAAATAAATAAGTACATGCAACAGTGCTTCTCAAGGTATTAATTGTCACTCATTGGAGGATGGTGATCTATGAGAGACAAGAAACAGAAGCAACAAGTCCTAAAATTGCCCCAAATTACTGAATGCATAGGAGTCCAAGCAGCAATTTTGAAGGGTAGAGAAGCCAGAGAGAAGCTTATATTCTGAGTGGATGAGGGCTGGAAGCATGGTACCATGGTAGCTCTAGATCACAGGGGACACCACTAAAGATGAGAGAGTTGTATGATTAGAGAACTTTGGCAATCTGTAGAGTATCTCCATTGCATATTTAGTAGATTAATGTTAAATTATGTATGTGAAAAAACTACATCTTCCCATGGAAGGAGCCACCTGAAAGCATTGGGGGAGTAGTCCTTTAAGTCTGTAATCAACAGTGAAAGTGAGATGCCTCATGGTTCATGGGTACAGGTGGGGTACTCAGTATTTTTCCTAGGCAATAGGAAAGAACTGTTCTAGATAAACACTGGTCTGCTTTTCTCCAGAAAATCTTAAAAGCAAAAACATAAAGGTCAGCATTTCCAGCTAAATTAAAAACATCTCTGAACAGAGTTCAAAAATAAGCATAGGAAAATAAAGCCTTCAACAAAAAACAAGGTAAAATTTCGAGTCTGACATCCAGTCAAATGGCCATGCCTATAGAGAAGAAGGAAAGCATGTCCAAGGAGATTTGTCCCAATCAATTAAATCAACCTAGAAACCAATCATGGTATATCCATAAAGTGTAATACTCAATATCAAAAACAAATAAACAAGTGATGCACACAGAAACTGAATGTTGACACTAAGTGGAAGAAAAAATTAACTCAGATTGTATGTTTCCATTTATGCGTATAAATTTTTAGAAAGTTAAAACCAATCACAGTGAAAGAAATGAGCCTAGTACTTGAGGCTGGGAGAAAGAGTGAAAGGAATGGATTTCCAATGGACCCCATGAACTTCAGAGAGTATGGATGGCTATGTTCATTACCTTGATTGTGCTGATAAAAATAAAATATCTCAAAAACAAAAAAAAAAAAACCCAGCAACAATTGATCTTGAATACATACAATGTATTGTGCCAGTTATACCACATTATTACACTTAATTATTTTATTTGTCAATCTCAGAAGAAGAAATTAGATGATTTGTGCCAAAATGATAGTAGATATTCTGATATGTTACATTTTAACATAACGGACACATTCTTAAAAGTATTTTTATCAAAAATTGAAAGTTAATTTCCAGGAATTTACCAAGAATAAAGTTAACTAAACCAAATGAAATGTATCTAAATTGTTAGTTTCTCTGAAGCTCATTTACCCACAGTGAGATTTGTGCAATACCAGCTGGTTGTGAAGCTTGTGTGAGCTCCAGCATCTCCAGATACAGGGACATCAAGTCAGCATTTTGTCACACTACCCTTGAGGTCTGTGCATGACAGGAGTTCTGAACAGCACTGGCACCAGAAAAAGGATCCAGGTCCTTCAATACGTCACTGGTTTCAGAAGAACAAAATAAAAGTAGAGATAAGGAATATACTGTTCTAGATTAAAAGAAATTCAAGAAACACAAAACCTGGTAGGATAAAATGATGAAACATGGATCATGAGTTGTGCTAATATGATTTTATACTTAGGTTTTTAGGATAAATGAAAATTTAATATGTGTACAGTAAGTACTATATTAGGTGATAATCAGGATATGCTATTAATGTGAATGATTGGAAGTTTCTTTGTAGTTGTATAGAATCATGCCATAGTTTTGGTTATGTATAATTCATATCTTGGTGCATATTGGTTTGGGAAAAAAACAGGATGCCTAACTTCTAAATATTTTAAATTAAATATTTTAAATTTAAATATTTTAAAATATTTTAAAATATTCAAGAATAAAATAGGAAGATAGGTAAATAACCATGGCAAAAACGTGATAACAATTATTCCAATGGGGTCATGAGAATTTGGATAGTTTATTAATTTATTTTTTCAATTGCTTTTAAAACACACACAAACACACACACACACACACACACACACACACACACACACATATATATATATATATTAAGCCAATAATAAAAATAGAAAGTTTCATTTTAACATTAATATAGTAATCTGAAATCAAGTTATTTTAAGAGCAGCTATTAATGAAAATATACAGAAAAAGTAATATTCCATAATACTCATAAAAATGAAAATTTGTAAAGCATTTTGGAGAGTAATTTGGCCATGCAATATTTTAAAGTGTTTAATATATAAGCTAGAAGTTATATTTTATAGTTCCATACCTAAAGAAATGTTCAAAATTGTCTGCTGGTAGAAAAATACAAATCGGGTAAATTTAGGAAAAAAATGAAAAATAATGTTTAAATTAGGATTCTGAATGATATTCATTATATAAGTATTTTTCTAAATTTCAAGGCAATACTCTTTCATACTGTTAATGTGAAGAAATTCTGTATAATTCTAAGTCTGATAATATTCACATGAACCACAATATTTAATATGGTAACTTCCATAATAGTAGGAAGTTATGTTGTTTTAATGGTTGAAATTTAGAACTATTTTACATTTTCTTTTCTCTCCAACAATCAAAAGTAAATATTTCAGATATAATGATGCTCACTAGATGTGAATTATCTCTCTCCTATATGATAAACATTTTTTAAATTAAGTTCATATTTGAAATATTCAATAGCTAAATTTAAAATTAACAGCTAACATATCACTTTATAATTCTACATAATAAAAAGCAGATCTGAAAACTGTTCACTGTACTTTCAAATATATATTCATAATGAAAAAAAAATGAAATGGAAGCAATAGTTATATCTGAATTATGAAATACTGTGGTTTTGTTTATATGCTTATATATTTGAAATTTTCTATAATGGTCATGTATTTCAGGGTAAGGAAAAAAATACCTTTTCAAATAATGGTGCACTTTTGATTGAAGACTGATGACAGCTGTCAGCTGTGCAAGACTGAGAAACTTTCTGAGCTGAGTCTAGGCATACAAGGAAAAATGCTAACAATTAGTTATATTTGAAATGGGCTCAGGAGAAACCAGTGGTGGCATTTCTGCCTTGCATTTGCAATCCTGGTTATATTTTCCAATCAGGTGAATACATTAATAAAATCTTCATAATACTTCAATATGGAAGAAACATGCTAATACTGTGTCTTATATTAGTGTGGTTTTTATTCTCTTATTGCTACTATGTAGGTGCATTAATGAATATTTATAATGTTGTACAGTAGAGTACATTTCAACATATATAATGCATATAAATAGCATGAAACTTACAAGGCACAATAATAGATAACTACTATTACCACCTTATTACTATTGGAATAACACTTAACCTAAGCATCATCAAAATACTATCTCCAAAGAGAATCATATGAATTTAGTTTTGAAAAGTTTATTTAATCTAATATATTACATCACACAGGAAAGGATTTATATTCAGAAGTGACCTTCCAAATATCAAATATTTCTTTGAATGTAGAAAAAGGACTGAAAACCTCACTGCACTTTACTGAACAGGAGATAGGAAATGCTCAGACACATAGCATTGTGACATCTGACACTGACGTGGTGTCCCCTTGTTTACATTGAATCAAGATCTATACACTGAATTTTAACCTTTGGGCCATTCTTGAAACCAGACATAGTAAAATGTTTCCTATTATCCTCTTCCAGACACCTTCTATTCCCCCACCTTGTTCTGAGGTTTTCAGGTTAAAAAAAAAAAGTGGTAAGAATAAGTCAAAATGATGGATTTGGTGGCTGGTGGGAGAAGATAAAAGTTGAAGCTGCAAAAAGTGGTTGGGATAAATATAGAAACGTAATCCTATTTGTGATCTCTTAAAAATCAAGGGAAACTTGGCAGCCTCTTAGAATGACRCTAGGCATAAAGACTTCGAAATGGCTTTCTCAGAAGGAAATATAGAAAGAAATGTGTGTGGAAATAGCTTGCATACATAAGTGCAAAAGAGGCAATATTTCTGGGCCAAAGATTGTTAATAAATGGCATGCCAACTCCTTCTCCAAAAGCATTCACTCCAGAGAGCTAGAATATGAATGATCTTTCTCTGTCCCATTTCTGAACTCTTGTGAAGCATGTGTTTTGCATATTTACTGTCACAAAGAAGCCCTTGGCTGCAGATAAAGTAATACAGAATCATATGTCCTCATAAGACTCTGCATATATTCTCATCAGACGCCCTCTTTGACTTTGCAGAGCCTTCCCATTGACCATTTGTGTGATGCCCTAAGACAGCTAAACCACTTCCCCCACATAATAGTTGTATGACCTTGAGCGAATGGTTTGACCTCTACTGTCTCAGTTGCCTCATGTGAAGACTGATGATAATAACTGTGCTCATCCCCCAGAATCATGTTTTTTATAAAAAGAGTTGCTGCACATAGAATTTTGCCTGAGGTGCTATGTTAAGTGTTGTTAACAAACTACATAAAGATAGCTAAGAATAGGCTAATGGTAAAGATCAGATGTTTTCTATATTTCTCAACTTTGGAATATTCAGCTATTTTTAATCTCTCCAAACAATACACATATACAATATCTTTATAAATTTCTATTGCAACTATAGTCTAGGCCTCTTGAATGTCATTTTTTTCTAAGCATGGCTAAGTGACTATGACAAATAAACATTGTCATGCTTGAAGCAATACATGATATTGCATGGATGTATATAAGCTGAAAATGATCCCAGTGTGACTCAGAACAATTATGTTTTCAAAGAAGACTAATTATGACTTTAGGGATGGAAAATATTATAATCTATGCACTTATACAGTTTGAAACTGAATCTAATTAGAAATTGTCTTTTCTATGACCTCTTCTTGGTTACATAAAGATAATTATTCCATCTGTGAAAACTTATAAAAAATATAATGTATTCTGGAAGGCATGTGGAAAGCTGAAATACTGAATGTCACTAAGCTCAGCTTCTCATAGAGAAAAGCAGATGGCAATTAATGTAATGGCCCCATYTTTGGAAAACTATTGACTATGCTTGGCCAAAATGATACATCATAAGACATAATATGTGACGATCTGGAAGTCCCAAAGCTTAAAAAAGAACTAAGGAAGTCTCTTAAAGTTTTCTAAAATATTGCTAAAATAGGATAAAAAGTTTTGCTACATCAGTTTAAAGAACATATAAGTTTTTTATATCATGATCTAAATGTACGAAGCAAGGAAATACTACTATAAGACCTATGTGAAGCAAACAGTATAAGGGGATCTTTTGGAAATCGCAACAGACTTCACTTTAATCTCTTCTTATTTCAAGGATTCCTTATAAAAAGCAAGAATGAAAGCTTTGAAGTATCTAATTACAGTTCCCCTTTATTTCATTATCTAATTACAATTCCCCTTTATTTCATAAGCACATATAATATAAATACATTGCAGAGCAACAATGTGGAAAGTTGGTGGCAGTTTTCTGACTGTGTCTCAAAGTCTGTTTTGTYTTGATACACATGCATACCTCTTGGCTTATCATGTCCGTCTACCTTCCTTTTACCCTTGCCCGCCTCCCTGGGCACCCTTCTTAATCCCTCTACTACTTAGAGGTTGTCTTTGTTGTACTTATTGTTAGTTTCCACATATGAGAGAACACGCAATACTTGTTTTTGTGTTTTGCTCCTTTCACTGAACATGCTGTCCTCTAGTTCCATTTATTTTTCTGAAAATGACAGGACTTCATTCTGGATGAATGCTACTACATTGGATGTATGCACCATTTGGAGCAGCTAGGCTGACTCCATATCTTAGCTGTGTGAATATTATCACAGTAAACATGGGTATGCATTTATCTTTTATATATTGTGACTTCATTTCCTTTGAACATATTTCCAGGAGTGGGAAGCTGGATTACATGGTAGTTCTACTTTTAGTTTTGTGAGGAATCGCCACACTATTTCTACAGCGACCGTACTGATTGACTCCCAACAATCGGAAAATGTTCCTTTTTCTCCACATCCTGACCAACCAACATTTGTGATTTATTTTTTTTTTTTAAACAGACGTTCTTATTTGGGTGAGATGGCATCTCATTTTACTGTTAATCTTTATTTTCCTGATGACGAATGATACTGAACATTTTTTTTCAAATATTTATTAGTCATTGGTATTTTTTTTTGAAAATTGTCTAGTCAGATCATTTGCCCATTTTAAAAATTGGATTACTGGAGGCCCTTGGAAACTGTTACTGATTTTTTTTTGTGTGTGTGTGTGTGTGTGTGTGAGAGAAAGAGAGAGAGAGAGAGAGAGAGAGAGAGAGAGAGAGAGAGAGAGAGAGAGAGGTATGTATGCTCTTTACATATTCTAGAAATTAACTTTTTGTTAGATGAATAGCTGGTGAAGATGTTCTCTCATTCTGTCTCATTCTGTAGGTTGTTTCTCCACTCTGTCGACTGTTTCCTTTGCTGTGCAGAGCTTTTTAGGTTGATATACTCCCTTTTGTCAATTCTTGCTTTTAATTTTTGTTTTGTTTTGTTTTTTGTACTTTGGAGTCGTATCCAGAAACTCATTGCCTATACCAATACTTTGAAATATTTCTGAGTGTTTTCCTCTAGTAGTTTCAATATTTGAAGCCTTACATTAAGTTCTTTGTTCCATATTGAGGTGATCTTTATACAGTTTGAGAGATAGAAGTCAGCCTTTAATTTTATGCATGTGTGTATCTTATTTATCCAGCACCATTTTTAAAAAAGGCTTTTCATTATTCAATGTATGTTTTTGGCAACTTTGTCCAGAATCACTTGGCTGCAGAGTGGATATTGTTTTCAGTTCTCCATTCTGTTTTATTTGTCCGTATTTATGTTTTAATGTCAATGCCATGTTGTTGTTATTTTTTTACAATGGCTCTACAATATGTCTGAAATCAAGTATTGTAGTGCCTCAAGTGTTCTTTTTGCACAAAATTGCTTGCGCTATTAGGAATCTTTTGCAGTTGCATATAAATTTAGAATTGCTTTTTTAGGTCTGTAAAGAATATTGGTATTTTGATGGTGATTTGTTAAATATGTAGATTTATTTGAGTAGTAGGGGTATTTTAATAATGTTATTTTTTTCCAGTCTATGATTATGGTCTTCTTTGAATCTTTCTTAAGGGTTTTATAATTTCCATTGTAGAGATCACAATAAATTCACAAGTAATTTGTAGAAAAGCTATTGATTTTTGCATGCTCATTTTGTATTCTGCTACTTTACTAAACTTTTTTTATCAGTTTTAATAGTGTTTTGGTGAAGTCTTTATTGTGTTGATTTCTGATATTTCTATATATAATTTATTCCATGATATTTTTTTCATGAAGAAATGTTAGATTTTACCAAGTTTTTTTTCTGCATCTATTGATATGATCATGTGATACTAAGAAAATATGTTAAAACAAGAATAAATCAATAATAAATAACCAGATAGACTTGGTAATGAGAAGATTCTCAGCAAAGAAAAGTCCAGGACTAGACAGCTTCACTCCTTAATTTTATCAAGTATTCAAGAAGAACTAATGGCGATGCTTCTAAATTGTTTTATAGAATTGAAACCCCTTGACCCATCCTATGAGGCCAGCATCACCCTGCTGCAAAAACCTGATAGGAACACAACAACAAGAAAATGAAAAGAAACTGAAGTTCCATGTCCTTCTCTGATGAATATCAATGTAAGCATCCTCAGCAAAATAAAATTGAAATCAACAGCACAACAAAAAGATCACACATGGTTATCAATATGGTTCCAGGGATGTAAAGATGATTCAACACACACAAGTCCATAAACACGTGGACATATTTAAAACCTTGTCTGTGTACCTAAACATAGATAGAATGATGTTAATAATAGAAAAACATGTTAGGTAAATAAAAATAAATCCCTTTGTGGAAGTTTTCTGGCTGAAATATCTTTTGGAATCTGTATTACCTACTGTATTATTTCTTATTTCAATACCTATCTTATTTAATTCACATTTTT